CCAAAGATCAGAGCTCTGGTGGTAAGGCCGGTGGAGAAGGCAGACAGGCAGCCGACAGAGAAAGAAAACCACAGAGTTGGGGGGACGACTCCAGTTCTGTGAGCAATGGAGGACGCACCCACAGCTGAACCCACGTGGCTGCCCCAACAGCCTCAACACCGGTGAGAACAAAAACAAATGCATCTTTCAGCCACGGAAACAAGTAACCCAGTAACTAGCAGAAGGAAAGAGCCACGCTGACAGTACTAAAGAGAACGATGCTTAAGATGGTTTTCTGACTCACTGCCTGATAGGAAATTAATATTTTGTTAATTATACAATACAAAGTAATTGGTGATCTGAGCTATGTAATTTGGCAGCAGGCAATGTGAAAGTTTCCAGAGGATTTTTATCAGCTCAGTGAATGACGCAGCCACGGATGATCACACCTGCCCTGGAGTGCGGCAAGGCTGGACACTCAATCTACCAAATGACGCTGCACATCGATCTAGGAGATTCACCCTCAGCCTGCTCCCAGACGGGAGCCACAGAGGCACTCCAAACGCACGGCACACGGATGGAAGCCACAGAGGCCACTCCAAACGCACGGCACACGACGGAAGCCACAGAGGCACTCCAAACGCACGGCACACGGACGGAAGCCACAGAGGCGCTCCAAACGCACGGCACACGGACGGAAGCCACAGAGGCGCTCCAAACGCACGGCACACGGACGGGAGCCACAGAGGCGCTCCAAACGCACGGCACACGGACGGGAGCCACAGAGGCGCTCCAAACGCACGGCACACGGACGGGAGCCACAGAGGCGCTCCAAACGCACGGCACACGGACGGGAGCCACAGAGGCGCTCCAAACGCACGGCACACGGACGGGAGCCACAGAGGCGCTCCAAACGCACGGCACACGGACGGGAGCCACAGAGGCGCTCCAAACGCACGGCACACGGACGGGAGCCACAGAGGCGCTCCAAACGCACGGCACACGGACGGGAGCCACAGAGGCGCTCCAAACGCACGGCACACGGACGGGAGCCACAGAGGCGCTCCAAACGCACGGCACACGACGGAAGCCAGAGAGGCGCTCCAAACGCACGGCACACGGACGGAAGCCAGAGAGGCGCTCCAAATGCACGGCACACGACGGAAGCCACAGAGGCACTCCAAACACACAGCATACGGATGGAAGCCACAGAGGCACTCCAAACGCACAGCATACGGACGGGAGCCACAGAGGCACTCCAAACGCACCGCACGTGTACGGGAGCCACGGAGGCGCTCCAAACGCACGGCACATGGACGGGAGCCACAGAGGCGCTCCAAATGCACGGCACACAGACGGAAGCCACAGAGGCACTCCAAACGCACGGCACACGTATTCAAACCAGCGTGAGCATTTTCTGAAGACAGAACATCTGTGTCAAAAGGAAAACAATACTACGTAGAAACCAAGCGGAAATGATAAAAAGGAAAGACACGGTGTCTGCTCCCGGGTGACTGCCTGAGAGCCTCGGCACCAGCACCGGCCGGAGCCGCCACAGGATGGGCTGGGCCTTCCAGCGCTGGGCTCCGGGCTCCTGCCTGCTGCTAGCAGCGCTGCGTGTTCCCATCTCCTACACAATTGTTGGAAGTTCTAAAAATATTTAAATCAGGCATGATTGAATTAGCGTGCTCTGTTCTACACACGGAGTTAACGACGCCAATCCCGTGCTAAATGGGGAGACACTGAGGGAAGTGATTTAAACCCTCTGTAAATTTTATTCGAAAATTAACGAGGAGCACCTCATTCATAATTTCTAATTAAAACGGCTCTAATTAACATCCACGTTCGTCAGCCAGCCACCTGCCGCATACGCGCCACTCGGACACGGTGGCCGCGCGGAGCCAGGAGGGAGATGGGCAGATACTGCAGTGGCGCCGCGGCATTTATTCTGGGAAGCACCACTCACCTGAGCCAGGCGAGCCCGCCAATCACTTCATCTCCAGGCAGCTCCTCGCACTCCAGCTGCCGCGAGCAAAATCTCCAAGGACTTCAGAGCAGTGCTTTAAAAAACATCAGTTTGTGGAGAAGAGTCTAGAAAGTGTCCATTCAACTGACAAAGGAGCAGCGTGGCACCTCCCTTCCTGCCAGAGCTGTGACATCCTCAATCCAGCCTCACAGGCCCTGCTGCCCTTGCACACTCACCAGCTCTGAAGCACAGCTGCGGCGCGTCTGCTGGCCAGACCGTGTGGTCGAAGGGGGCGAGGGGCCCTCCAAGCACCATCAGTCCTGGCCGCAGACACCCCCCACCCAGTGCCACCACTCAGATCTCAAGAGGACGCACACAGATGGGTCAGGAGTGGGCCCTCGGCCAGCAGGAGTGAGGAAGGACAGTGGAAGGGCAGCAGGTCCCAGGTGCTGGGTCAGGGTGGCTGCCTGTGTGCCAAGGGCCAGGGTCATGCGCCACGGAGGGGCGGTGCTGGTAGCTCCACCACGTGGGGTGTGAGACGCTCACGTCAGTCACTCAGAAGCTCAGAGACAGCTAACAGCATTGGCAGGGTCCCCGGGACCTGGTGGGTGGGAGCAGCAGCAGCTGGGGTCCTTCAGGCGGCCATGCCCTGCCCAGCATTCTCCTGCATGGCCTGGCCCACACCCATCTTGCGGGCCCTGGCCCCCACAGACCAGGCCCTGAATATAGCACCCCTGAGCAGCCCTGTGGCAGGAGGGGCTGGTGCTGCAGCCAGGAGGGCACAGCCAGCATGGGCCCGCAGCCGGCAGAGGTCCGGGAGGCCAGCTCTCCTAAGCCCACACGGGGCAGGGGCCAGGCTGAGCTAAACACTCACGGGAGAGCATGCAGGGCCCCTGGCACAAGGGAGTTTGCATCCACTAGGGTGAGGTGGAGCTGTGGGTGCAAGTCAGCCATGGCCGGGAGCCTGCAGGCCTTGCCGGTACCGCGGCTGTGCTGAATTAGAGTCCCGACTCAGGGAGCGGCAGCTCCTCATCCTCACCCAAGTAGGCCAAGCTGCCAGCAGCCCCGGAGGCTGCCCAGACGCACTTCCACCAGCCAGCCCCAGCTGGGGGCCGTCCCAGATGGTGTGGAGCTATGAGATGCAGGCAGGGGGAGCACCCAACATTCCAGAAGGTTCCACTGCCAGAACCTCAGGCCAAGGAGAGCCACCTGGCTGCCCCAGCCCCAGCACTGCTGCTGGTACTAAAAGGACTGTGCCAACTGGAAGGGCCCAGGCCTGATGAGACTAGACCATGCCACCCATCAACCCCCTCTGCTCTGTGGACCCTCACCAATAAGCCAGCTGCCCCAGGGGTTTCCACTGCCAGGCAAAGGCCCACCAGCCACCTTCAGACAAAACTGTCTGCAGACTGCAGGAGCCGCACCAGGTGGGTCCAGGGTGGCAGCTGCACAGGGGCAGCGCCTGGTACAGGGTCTCAGCGTGAGGCTCCAGCAAGCCTCGCCCATGCCGTGGAGACTGGGCAGTGACCTTCAAAGGGCCCCAGTGTGAGCCACAGGGAAGCGCCCTGACACAGCTGGCAGCCCCCACGCGGCCCACTCGGCAGCGGTGACAGGGCGTGCCATCGGGGCCTGATCCTGCAGCTGCCATCCTGTGGGCCTGAGTGCGCTGGGCGTGAGCAGTGGGCTCACCCTGATCCTGACGTGCTGACAGCACTCACCATCTTCCTCCTCAGCCTAGACCAGCATGCTTTCTCATTGCAAAAAGTATATTTTTGTCACAACTCACAAAAGCATTTCCTCGTGGAGCGAGGTGTTGACCAGCACCCACAAACACCGCCACACACGAGCGGCGAGCGGCGCGGCCACCGGGCTCCCACACGACTATAAATTCTCCGGGAATCAGTTTCGGACTTAAAGGAGAAAAGCAAGCTCGCCCTCTGCTGGCCCCGGGGCGTCTGCACACCCCCGCCATGCTGGGGACGCGGGCCACTGACCGGGGGAAAACCACAGGCTCCGCATTTCATCCAGAGGAGCTTCCCGGCCCCCCACTTCCATGGCCCCGTACATCTGCCGCTGTGGAACCCGACCTCTTCCTCAGCCAGGAGCACGATGTCACTTCCACCGCAAAGCTTTCCTTAACGTGGGGAGAGCCAAAAGGCCAGCATCTCCCAGGCCAGGGCTGGGTTTGGGGTCCGAGTTCAGGGGTGTTGGGGTTCAGGGCTTGGGTTCCCTGAGGGAGAGGCGCCTGACAGACAGCACTGCTGTGCGAGCCCAGGGTGGCCGCGGTGTGCCTCCAGTCCCAAGGCCTGACTGCTGGGTGCCGCCGAGGACATCTGCAGAGGACCCCAGCTCTCAGGCCCTTCCAGGCACTGAGGCCCGGATTTCCATTCTGTGCTCAGGCAGTTCAAGGCCCTGGCACAGCAGCGTGCCGGGCACCGCCACCCTTGACCGGCTCCAACACGCCCAATGCGACGGTCTCTGCTCCCAGCTTCACCCCGCCAGAGGCACCCCATACCTCCCTCCAGCCTCCAGCCCCTCATGGTGGCCCTGCCCCTTCTAACCCTACGCTCCTTGCTCAGGGAAGTGCAGTGCCCCCTATGACCCTCCCAAGCCCCTCGCAAAGCCCAGCAGACAGTAACCCAAGTCTCCACCCCTAAGTTCACTGGAGACCGCGGTGACCCTCTTGGCCGTCTGAGGGCTTGCCGGGGGTCTCTCCTCTGGTGGACACAGTGCCCGCCAGGACAGGCGCCGCACTGCGGATGACTCCCTAGAAGGAGTTGTGGGGGCACAGCCTGACTGGAGGCTTCCTGGAGGCACGAGCAGCACTCAGCACCTCTGCTAAGCTACCATACACGGCAGCCGGGCAGCACCCAACAGCTGCACCATCCCCTCTGCCACGGCGATGACCCTGGGCTCACAGGAAGCCCTTGCTGGGGCTGAGTGGGCTTGGGGTGTGGTTGGGTTCTGCCAGGCCCACAGGCCCAGGGTGCAGCCCGCCACAGCTTCTCCTCCCCCACTGAGGCCTTCTGGGACGCCTTCCCGCTTGCCCACTCACCCTGTGCCTGTGCCCTCCCTTGGGCTCGATGTCCAGCTCCTTGTATTTTCTCAGCGCAAGCTCCAATTCCGCCTTCAGGTCAATGGCGTGCTTTAAACATCCACCGTGGGTCCCAACGCGGGTGAAGCGCTGCAAAACGGGGGTGCGAATAGCTCAGGGGCCTGGCCGGCAGGCCCCAGGAAGCCGTCCCGCTGGGAGGCACACGCCAGGTCCACCGGACCAGGGGGTCTCTGGTACACCTGGGGTGCAGAGGACGAAGCTGCAGGTGAGGGACAGAGCCCTTGCGGGTCAGGGACCTTTCAAGTCACCAGACCACGCCCCCAGGCCACAGCGCCCCCAAGAAAGGGACCCCCCATGCCTGGCGCTCTGCACACGGCCCTCCACCCACAGGTCCCAGGTTTGAGGCTCACCTGGATCCACGAGCACACGGCCGGCAAGAACTTGTTCCGGATGAGCTTGAGTGTGTCGCGGGCGGCGTGGACGACAGCGAGGTTGTCCTCATTTTCCTGCACCTTCAGGCCCTCTGGGGAGAGGCACACAGAGGTCACCCGAGGGCGCCGGCTGGCATCTCCCACAGGCCCCGGAGAGGCGGACCACGCAGTGAAGGCTGCTCTAGCCTGAGGGGAACCTGCCAGATGCCCATGCCTGCCCCCAGGAATCCCAAACCTGATGCGGTGAGAAGGAAGTGTTTTATGATCTTAGAAAAGAACACTGTGGCTTCACACCGAAGCCTCCCCTCACACACGGCTCCACTGCCTGTGTCTCAATCTCCTGGGCTGCAGCCATCCCATCTGGAGGGGCAAGACCACCCATGGCCTCTTCTACTCACTGCCCCCACCCGCCGGGCACAGAACCTTCCCCTCCACAGACTACCCCACAGGACGGGCCCTGCCCAGTCCAGCCTCACCGGCCCCCACCCACCCCGGCCTCTCCTCCGCCGGACACCCCAGCTCCAGCTCTGCTCTGCCGTGGCTTCCCCCACTGTGGCACGCTCAGCGTCCGGCACAGGGCTGAGCTCTGTGCAGGCAAGGACAGCCCTGGGCTGGCAGCAGCGGTGTGCACCCCGCACAGGCCTGCAGCCTCACTGCTGAGGCACCTCCGGGCAGCTGAGCCCTGAGGATCAGTTCTCCCAGCAGCTTCCCAGCCCGGCTGCTTCCTGGCCCTGGTGAAGGGACACCAGCTGTGCCTGCTTCCAAAGAAGGAGGTTCCTCAAAGAGAGCGATTTGAAGCCATGCACAGACCCAAAGGGCCCCAAGGGGAGCATCAGTGGGGTTGGGAGGAAGCTGGGGCTGGGGGAGCGGAGGGCGGCTGTGTCTCAGCAACCCTCACCCACCCAGGCTGCAGTGCCGAGGCTGCAAGTGGCCATTTCTGGATCACATTTTCCTCCCAGCAAGGGCCGGTGCTACCTGACCCCTCACGGCAACACGGGACCGTGACAGGCCTGTGAGCTGGCGGGACGCCCACACAGCCTGCCCAGGGCTCCTGGTCACTTGGCGGTCAGGCCTGTGCTCCCTCATCCTTCGAGGACCACACCAGCCTCGAGACCCCACCTCACCCCAATTCTGTGGGTCCTTGCTCTGTCCACAGCCTTGCTGAGGTGGGGGCTGCCATGAGCTCTTAGAAGTGTCCCCGTGGCCACAGAGGCCTGGCATGGGTGGGGGGATCCCAGTGCAGAGGCCACACAGAAGGAAAAACCCGGTGGTGACCCCTGATCTAGCCCCCCAGGGGAGGCCCCTGCAGTCCAAAGCTCCGGGACCGGGTGCCAGTGAGGGAGGGGCCTACCTGGGAGCTGGGGCAGGGCGACGCCGCAAAGATCCCGGGAAGGCAGTTACCTGAGCAGAGCTCCACGTCCAGGGTGTACTTGTGTGAGCCAAGCCCGTGGCTCCGCACAAATTCCTCGAGGTCACTGTCCTCATCCTCATCTGAGGGGTCACCTGTGGCTGTTTGGGGTGGTTGTGCCCTGCCACCCGCTCTAGGGTGGCCTGCAGAGGCAGGCAGGTCTCTACTGCAGCAGGGCTGCTCCCCGTCCCAGGGGTCAGGGGTGCCAGACCAGCAAGGGCCCACCTGGCCCGCGCAGGAGGAGTGAAGGGCATCGGACGTGCCGGAAGCCACGCCAAGCGATTCTGTCTCCGGGTTCGGGTGAAAGTCAAAAGGCACCAGTAGCCTAAAGCAGCTCTCTACCTCCGTCAGGCAGGATTCAATTTCTCCAGACATTTCTGCCAGAAGATCAAGACACCCGTTTGCATCACCATGTGGAGCAAAAGCACCAGCCCACCCAAAACCACACCCAGAGGCCCACTCCCCCCAGGGCGTCACTTTTCAGGTGGAATGTAGTGGTACGATCACAGCTTACCCCAGCCTCAACCTTCCAGGCTCAGGTAGTCCTCCTGCCTCAGCCTCCTGATTAGCTGGGACTACAGGCACGTGATACCATCAACTAATTTTTTTGTAGAGACAGGGTCTCGCTATGTTGCCCAGGCTGGCTTCGAACTGCTGGACTCAAGTGATCCGCCCGCCCTGGCCTCCCAAAGTGCTGGGATAACAGGTGTGAGTCACTGCGCCCGGCCGTGCAGTGCACTTTTCAACTGCTTCCTAAAGCACCCAGCTCAGCAGCTGGGCTTGCAGGCAACCTCTCTGCACCCCTGGGTAGCAAGCACGAGTGTGCAGGGAGGTCAGCCTGCCTGCACTTCCCAGGACACGGCTGCACCTCCTTCCTGGGGCAACAAAACAGCTTTGTTCATGCCACAACTCTCGGGCTGGAGCAGCTTTCCTCCTGGCGGCCTCCTCATCGTCTAGGCGCCTGGCTGCCTGCCTTGTGGGTTCCCCTGAGGCCTGTGTTTCCCAGAAGTGGCCTGCGGCAGGGCCCGCGTCTGCAACCACAGTCTGTCAGGGGAAGGATCTGGGGCACATGTAGTCTGAAGACACGGCTGTGCCTCCACCCATGCCAGGAGGTATCTCAGGAGGGCCGTGGCACCCCCTCCTCACACCATCGTGATGACACTCACGAGAAAGGCTGACTGCCGGGAAGCAAACGGTGAAGTTTTGGGGAAGGGGCTGGCAAGGCAGTCACAAAATAAACAAGTGGCAGGGCCTTCAGCCAGGCTGGGGCTCAGACCACTGCCCACAGGCACACCTGTGCCCGGTATCTCTGTCCAGGGATCTGCGCAGCAAACAGGCGTGGGTGAATGTGACCACCAGAGGGCGTGGGAGAGGCATGGATGGCCCAGGAGGCCCCTGCAGGGTGCTGGGCGGGGTCCTATGGCTGAGAATGCCTTCCAGCCCGATGTGAATCATCTCTACCTAGCCTGTCTCAAAACCTGGGTCCCTTGCGGCCAGGGCCCTGGGACCAGGAGAATGAACTGCCAGACCACGGGCAACCCCCAGAGGTGTGGGCCCCTCCCTCTGTCCTGGGCACTTGCCTTGCATCTCCCTCTCCGCCTGGCTGGCTCTTTCTTGGTAAATTTTATCCAAGTGCTTCTGCTTCTCCTCTTCTCTCTTTCTTTCTGCCAGAGTCCGAGCATTTGTGTCTTGAAAATCCACCTGAGCAATTGAAAATAAAGACTAGGGTCGGCCGGGCGTGGTGGCTCACGCCTGTCATCCCAGCACTTTGGGAGGCCAAGGCGGGCAGATCATGAGGTCAGGAGTTCGAGACCAGCCTAATACGGTGAAACCCCATCTCTACTAAAAATACAAAAACTAGGCTGGGCGCGGTGTCTCATGCCTGCAATCCCAGCACTTCGGGAGGCCGAGGCAGGTGGATCACAAGGTCAGCAGATCGAGACTATCCTGGCTAACACGGTGAAACCCCGTCTCTACTAAAAATACAAAAAATTACCCAGGTGTGGTGGTGGGCCCCTGTAATCCCAGCTACTCAGGAGGCTGAGGCAGGAAAATGGCGTGAACAAGGGAGGCGGAGCTTGCAGTTAGCTGAGATCGTGCCACTGCACTCCAGCCTGGGCGACAGAGTGAGACTCCATCTCAAAAAAAAAAAAAAAAAAAAAAAGCTGGGCGTGGTGGCAGGCGCCTGTAGTCCCAGCTACTTGGGAGGCTGAGGCAGGAGGATCACTCGGACCAGGGAGGTGGAGGTTGCAGTGAGCCGAGGTCGCACCACTGCACTCCAGCCTGGGGGACAGAGCGAGACCCTGTCTCAAAAACCACCACCACCACCATAACAAAAACTAGGGCCATCTATACAGAATGTGAGGAAGATAAAGCTCAAGTAAGCCTAACAAAAGACACAGCATTCACGTGTGGCCGGGAGCCCTGCACATCTGTAAGTTCACAGTGGTTTTTTCTTTTTTTTAAGAGCCAGGGGTCTTGCTGTGTTGCCCAGGCTGGACTCACTCCCAGGACCAGGTGACCCACCAGCCTCGGCTTCCAGAGTCAGCGGGACTACGGGTGTGCACCCTCACACCCAGCTATTCACAGTGCATTACAACAAAACACAATGCACACCTCTCTGCTGTCGGAGCCTGGGAACGCCAGCACATCTGCTAACTCAAAAGAGGCGACGAGACTTCTCACCGCAAGTACCTCACAGGTAGGCAAGCAGTGTGCTTGTTCCATTGGCAGGCAGGGGCTGCTGACTGGACCCAGGGGTCTGAAACAACCCCTGAGCATGAACCCTGGGAGACAGGGCACTCCAAGGGCACACAGGGAAGCCAGCGGGGCCGGGTCATTGCACTGGGGAGGCCTGAGCCTTCGTGGCGGGTGGGGTAAGGGGCACGGTAGGGTAAGGGGCACGGGAGGGTCTGGGCAACGAGGCTGGGTTCAGGCCACAGCAGCAGATCCTGGTGGGTTTCATCATGCCAGGAACCAGCCAGAGCCCACAGCAGGATCCGGGTGGAGCCTTAAAGTGCAAGGTTGGGACAGGTCCCAGAGTCCAGGGGCCACTGCCATAGAAAATGCTGCATCTGAGAAGTTGGAATGGCTTTTCCTTTGTCTCCTACACACACATAAAAAATGACGCATGCAACCTCAGCTCCATCCACACACACAGCTTATGCTCTTCCTCTCAGAGCTGCGCCGCCCCTATCAGGGAGGCCCTGACCCCAGCTGCTGTCCACTTTCCCACATTCCACGGACGGTCTGGTAGCCGGGGTGCTCAGGCAAGGCCAAGCAGGCCCCTGCCGTGCCAGGTCCGACAGGAAGTGCATCTTCACCCTGGTACAGTCTGCCCTCCTCATGTCAGGTAACCAGAGTCTCTGAGAAAATGGGCCAGGCCCACCTACCTTTTTGTTGTGTCTTAAGAAGTGGTAGCCCAAGGCAAGCTTCTTGTAGGCCTCCCCGAACTTCTCATTCCACCCTTCCACGGCCCGGGTGGCCGCCTGCCTCAGCCTCTGTGCCGCCTCCCTGGGGGGTGGCAGAGGCTGTGCGGGATCCGTGCCCAGCGTGAGCTCCAGGAACTCCTGGAAGTTGGAAACAACCAGCATCCGGAACTGGTGAGACCTGGCAAAGAGTTCGTCCACGATCTGGAAGGCTGAGAGGCGGATCTCAGCGTGTTCCTGGGTCAGCTGTGCTATCAGCAGGCGGTAGGCACGGCTCAGCTGCTCCTCTGAAGACCTGGGGATACGAGCCAGCCTGACCCAACTGCCCGGCATGCAGAGGATGGGTGGGGGGAGACTCTCTGTACAGGGATGCTGCATGCACGTAGTGGCAGGGACCACCACTGCCTTCCCATCTTCGTTCTCCCCTTTTCTAGAGCAGGGTCTGCATACTGCCGCCCAAGGGCCCCATCTAGTTCCCCAGCCCCTGCCTGTTTCTGTGTGGCCCACAAGCCAAGAATGTTGAAACAAACGAAGAATACTTGATGAAATGTGAAAATTATATAGACTTCAAATGTCGGTGGTCATTCACAAAGTTTCATTGGAATGTGACCCATTTATCCAGCTGCATCATCTACAGCTGCGTTCAGAGCTGAGGCCTTATGGCAAAGCCTGAAACACAAACCATCCCGCCCTTTAAACACATGCCACCCGGCACAACGCAGACCGCCCGGCACAAACGCACACCGCCCAGCACGCACACTGTTCAGCTGGGTGCCTCCTGATGCGGGAAGGAAGGGAAGGCCTAGAGCTCGGGACATCTCCCAGCCCCTCCTGAATGCTCCTCTTCCCAGCTCCTGGCCCCACATAAACCATTGCGAATCGGATTTCCTGGTGCATGCTGCAAAACCTGACCTGAAATTTTCTATTAAAATGTCAACACTCCATTACGCTATAAACAATCTGTAAGTTCTCGTTTTACAAACGCAGGATACAGGATAATGAGTGTCCTCGACTTATGCTCCACCCTCCGAGGGGAAGTTCTGCTTCCCCCATGAATCTCTGGCTGCCTGAGGGTGACCTGCAGAGATCCTGGGCAGCGTATTCCCCGGAGGGAGAAGTGAACAGGGGTGGACATACCCTAAAGGCGATGGACCAACTCGCCCATCAGCAAGCTCTATTCTCTCCCTTCGCAAAGTCCAACAGCAAAGAAAAAGACACACGTTTCTCTCTAAATCACATATGTGCACTCAGGAAACGGGAATGAAGAGAGAAGCACCAAGCACGGAGCAGTGATGGGTCTGCAACGCCACACGCCCCAAACCCAGAACATGACCACCCATCAGAGCTGGGTACTGCAGGGCCCTGAGAAAATGTCCTGGGTGTGTCCTCGGGTGGTTCTCTCCCAGGTCGGGGCAGGAAGGCAGGGCCCTGTGTGTGTCCTGGGCTCTGTGGGCCAGTCAGTTACTGTGAGTTACTAAACCCTAAGACATACTTGCAAATTTTCTTCAGTTCCTTCATTTTCTCAGGATTTAGTCTGGGTTCTCCTGAAGTTGTGAGCTCTTCTACCAACTTCGAAAGTTTCTGATCCATATCTAGAAATAGGTAAGGCACAAATGCTAAATCACCATCTGTATTTTATAGCTCTTGCTGTTATTAACGTGTTTACTGGGCTCTACTATAAACCGAAAGTTCCGGGAGGACCCTGAGCCTGGGGTCCATCTGCCGTTACCTCTGGGGGCGCCTCTCTGGGAAATGTGTCCGGCAAGGCCTTTACAGCGGTGATTACGGTCAGTTTTAAAAGTGAACCTTCAACTCGGGACCTCTACAATCCCCTGCGTGTGGGACGCTGCACTGAGGGCCGTGCGTTAAGAAGCAGTGGCACTGTCCAAATCAGCTTTTGCCTAACGTGACTGTTGCTGTTTCCCTTATTCACTGATTCCGCAGGGCAGCCTCCAGCAAGGCTGCAGAGGCCAAAAGGAGCCAAGAAATTCTGAGATCAATGAAAGTCGCGCCCGGAGGCCAGGGGCGGCCCTAACGGAGGCAGCCCGCCCGGAGGCCCAGGGTCGAGCACCGCGGCGTGCAGGGTGGGAAGAGGCGAGAGCCTGCAGCACTGCCAGGAAAAGGCCGAAGGACCCGGAAGGAAGCGCCAGGGGAGGCCGGGGCGGAGGCTGGGGAGCTGCGCCCTACCCGGGGAAAGCAGCGGCCCGGCGGGGCCGCGCGAGGCTGGGGCCGCGGGGTCGCCCTCGCACAGCGGCTGCACCGGGCGGGCGCGCAGCCTTCGGCGGTGCTCGGGTGCTGCGGCCTGTCACTCGGCCCTGGGCCCGCCCTCCGGCCCCGCCGCCGGCGCTCTCGAAGACACGGGACACGCTCCGCCCGCAGGTCTCTGCCCGGCGCCCGCAGAGCCGCCGGTGCTGAAGCTGCTCGACCCCCGCCCCCCAGCGCAACCACAGCCCCACCTACCGCTGACTCGGCGCTCGCCTCGCCCCGCCCCTTCCGGCGGGCGGACCGCCCCTCCTGTCAGGTGCCCAAGAGCTCTACAGCCATTGGCTGTCCCTGGGCCGGACGCATCAGGAGCTGGGGTCACCACGGCGACGACTGCACCTACCCCTTGACGCGGCCATTCTCGCTGTTGCCCCATCCTTTCCGGCAAAGGCCCCGCCCCTATCACGTGCCCTGAGCTCGGCAGCCAATGGCTCACCCTGGCCGAGGAGGCGCAGGCGCAAAGACGCGGCCGAGGTCTGCGCGGTGACGTAGGCGCGCTCCCGGCGGGGGCGGGGCAGCCTGGGATGGGAGACGCGCTAGAAAAGAGGCGGGAGGGCGCAGAAAGTCCTTAAAGGGGCTGCGGTGTGCGGGCGCCGGGGGCGGGGCCGGCCCGGAAACTGAGGCCGAAAGGAAGTTCCGGTCTGGGCGTCAACGCCACGCCTGCCCGGACTTTCGCGGCCAGGTCCCTTCCCCTGCGGAGGGCCGGTGAGGACTGCCCAGGCGGGAGGGCGCGGGTCCCTGGACCCTGGCGCCCTGGACCTCGCGGCGCCTCCCCGCTCGGGCCCGAGAAGGGAACCCCTGGGCGGGCTCGGGGTTCTTCGGGGCCCAGCTCGGCGCCAGACACACAGCAGATACCCCTGGGCCCGGGCTAGCCCCGGGCAGAATGAGGAGCAGAGGCGCCGTCCGTCCTGCCGCCGAGGTCCGCAGCCTGGAACGGAGGGGAGTGCGAGGCCGGCTGCGGACGGACCGACCTGGAGGTGGCTCAGGAGGAACGCGGTGTGCACCCCACTCGCGGGGCGCCCGGCACAGGCCACGCAGAGCAGACGCCCAACTGGGCGTCCGGGGCTGGGTGCATGGCGGGGGCCGCCGCCGGCGGGGCGGCGGGCCGGGGTTTCTTTTTCGGGGGGATGGGCATGCCCTTGCATTAGAGTGGTGGTAGCTCACAACCCTGTTAATCGTGTTTTTGTAGGGTGGGTTTCTCAGTAAAGCAGTTCTTTTAAAAAAGAAAAGAAGAGGGACTCCCTGCGCCGCCCCTCTCTGCAGCACCAGCCTCTGTCCCTGGGCGTCAGTGGCTCCCAGCTCCTAGCCTGCAGGCACCCTGAGCCGCTCCCCCGCCTCACCCCTTCCTCACCCAGCCTCTTGCTTCACTGAGCAAGCTGGAGCCAGATCCTCCCTCAGCGCCCCTTGCCCTGTGCACCCAATTGCCGGCCTGTGGCTTCCTCCAAGGCACCCATCCAGCAGTTTCCCTCTGTGTTCTACAGCAGGTTTTTTTGTTGTTATTAGTTCTCATTAGCATAAAAGGGTGCCGTTTCTCCCATACTAACAAAACCCTCTCTTTATCCGACTTCTCTCACCAATTGCTAAGTCCAGTTTCTTTTACACTGCCCCGGGGTGTCCTCTCAGCCCTCAGGCTCTACAGCACAGCCAAGCTGCCCGTCCACTGTCCACTGCCCTCTATCAGCTGATGGCCCTGCAGCCTTTTTTTTTTTTTTTTTTTTTTTTTTGATACGTAGTCTCACTTTGTCACCCAGGCTGGAGTGCAGTGGCGCGATCTCGGCTTACTGCAACCTCCGCCTCCTAGGTTCAAGGGTTCAAGCAATTCTGCCTCAGCCTCCCGAGTAGCTGGGATTACAGGTGCCCACCACCACGCCCAGCTCATTTTTGAATTTTTAGTAGAGACGAGGTTTCACCATGTTGGTCAGGCTGGTCTCGAACTCCTGACTTCCGGTGATCCGCCCGGCTCGGCCTTCCAGAGTGCTGGGATTACAGGCGAGAGCCACCGCGCCTGGCCTGCCCTCATCCTTCTGTTCGCTTGGACCAATTACCTGACTCACTTGGGCTTCTCACTTCCTCACTCCATGCCCATTTGGTTTGCAAATCCTGATAGCCCTACCCTCAGAACACATCCAGATCTGAGCAGGTCCCACTGCCTCATTGCCACTGCCAATTCCCGGCCACCCCTGCAGTGGGTCACTGCTGTCACCTCGTCTTTCACTTGTGCCCTGGTACCCCTAGACCATCATGCAGCAACCAGAGGGACCTTTGAAAGTCTAAGGTCAGATCACAGGATTGTTCCACACAGAATCCTCCTACAGCTCCCATCCCAGGGCAAAGCAAAACCTGTCGTGGCCTGCGTTTGCCGCCCACTACGTCCCACCGGTCGACTTCTCCAGCCTGCTCTTGCTGTCACACTGGGCCTCTGGGGAGCGGATCCTTCTGCCGGGAAGCTTCTGCCAGCATCCAGAGCTCCTTCCCCATCTCCGTCCAGCCACTGCTCATGTCTCACCCCTGAGCAAACACTTCTACACCTTCCCGCCTCCCCGGCTCAGGACCCCCCCCCAACCCCCCCGGCCGTTTTCTTAACCTGCTCCGCTTGTTCCCAGGGCACTTCTGGCTTTGTATCACACAGACTTATTATCTTACTAGCTGATTCGCTTTTTTCTCTTCACCCCTAAAACATACAGTCCATAAAAATAGAGATCTTTGTTTTGTTTCATGAAGCCAGACACAAAGTAGTGCTCAGTATTTGTTGAATGCTGGATAAGATTAGAAAGCCAAGATAAATCATGATAAGAATTAGACGATATTTTATTTTTTTGTTTTCATTTGAGGCGGAGTCTTGCTCTGTCGCCCAGGCTGGAGTGCAGTGACGCGATCTCGGCTCACTGCAACCTCTGCCTCCCAGGTTCAAATGATTCTTGTGTCTCAGCCTCCCAAACAGCTGGGATTACAGGCACCCACCACCATGCCCAGCCAATTTTTGTATTTTTAGTAGAGACAGGGTTTCACCATATTGGCCAGGCTGGTCTCGAACTCCTGGCCTCAAGTGATCTGCCCACCTCAGTCTCCCAAAGTGTTGGGATTATAGGGGTGAGTCACTGCACCCAGCCAAGAATTAGAAGATACTTCTAAAAGACATTTTAAAAGAACCAACAGAAACTTTGAGATGATAAAACCCAAGCAGTATAAACAAAACCACCCAAGGCACATCTTAAATTGCAGAAAACTAGTGATAAATCTTAGAAGCAGTCAGAGTAAAAAAGGCATATGACATATAGGCACAAAGAAGCCAAAGATTTCTTGTCCCTTCCACCCCCAACAACAACAACAAAAGCAAGCCAGAAGAAAATGGAACATCTTTAAGATGGTAAAAGAAAAAATACTGTCAATCTAGAACTATATATGCAGCAATATAGCCTTTTAAAACTGAGGTGATACAAAAGCATTTTCAGACAAAAGCTCCATGAATTATGACCAGCAGATTTGCAGTCCAGAAACTGTTATAGGATGCTCTTCAGATGAAAGGAAAATGATACCAGAGCCAAACTATAAAAGGAATGAAAAATTCTATAAATACTTTTTTTTTTTTTGAGACGGAGTTTCACTCGTCACCCAGGTTGGAGTGCAAATGGTGAGATCTTGGCTCACCACAACCTCTGCCCCCTGGGTTCAAGCGATTCTCCTGCCTCAGCCTCCTGAGTAGCTGGGACTACAGGCACGTGCCGCCACGCCCGGCTAATTTGTGTATTTTTAGTAGAGATGGGGTTTCACCATGTTGGTCAGGCTGGTCTCGAACTCCTGACCTCATGATCTGCCTCCTGGAGGTGGCAATACCGTAGATGAGAGAAGGATCGAAATCTACAGGAAGATATGCCATATTCATGGGTTGAGGACTCAATATTGTTACGATTTTTAAGTCCTTGTTATGGACTGAATTGTGGCCCCTGCCTACCAAATTCCTATGTTGAAGCCCTAACCTCCAATGTGACTTTATTTGGAGATGAGGCCTTTAAAGAGGTGAACATTAAATGGGATTCTAGGGATAGAGCCCGCATTTGATAGAACTGATGTCCTCGTAACATGAAGAGACTCCTGAGAAGTGTGTGCATAGGAGGAAGTCCACCACTGGAGGACACAGTGAGAAGGGGGCCGTCTGCAAGCCCGGAGGAGAGGCCTCACCGGGAGCCAACCCTGCCAGCATCTCCCCTAGAACCATGAAGAAATAAATGTCCATTGTTTAAACCCCCTAGTCTGTGGTCTTCTGTTATGGTAGCCAAGCAAACGAATACCGTCCCTTTGGAGACGATAGGTTCACTGCAGTTTCAGTGAAAATCCCAGCACACTTTTTACAGTGTGTAGCAGACACTGATTAGTCGACTCTAAAATGTACGTGGAAATGCAAAGGACCTAGAACCACCGAGACCATCTGAAAAAGCAGAACTGGAGGACTCATGCTCCCTGGTTTCAAGACTTGCCTTAAAACTGCAATAATTAAGATAATGTGGGCCGGGCGCGGCGGCTCATGCCTGTCATCCCAGCACTTTGGGAGGCTGAGACAGGCGGATCACGAGGTCAGGAGATCCAGGCCATCCTGGCTAACACGGTGAAACCCCGTCTCTACTAAAAATAAAAAAATTAGCTGGGCGCGGTTGCGGGCGCCTGTGGTCCCAGCTACTAGGGAGGCTGAGGCAGGAGAATGGCGGGAACCCGGGAGGCGGAGCTTGCAGTGAGCCGAGATCTGGCCACTGCACTCCAGCCTGGGGGACAGAGCGAGACTCCGTCTCAAAAAAAAAAAAAAAAAAAAGAGACTGTGGTGGTGTTAGTACAAGGATAGACCTAAAGGCCAATTTAACAGAAGACAGTGTCCAGAAATAAACCCCAACTTACACAGCCAGGAATTTTTTTTTTTTTTTTAATGGAGCCAGCATTATTCAATGGGATGAGAAAGGTCTTTTTAACAACTGGTGTTAGAACAATAAACATACGGGATGGGGTGGGGAATCATCCTCAAGCTCTTCCTCACGCAACACACACGAGTTAGAGATGTGTCACAGACTTAAACTGAAAAGCTGGAACGGAATCTTCTGGAATAGATAAAAGAATATTATCGCAACCCTGGAATAGGCAGAGTTTTTCTTTTTTTTAGAACAAAGAAAAGCATTAGCCACAAAGGAAAGAATAAATTGAACTGCACTAAAATTTTAAAAATCTGCTGATCAAATGACAGTCAATAAAGCATAAATACACATATCCCACAAAGGATTCGTATGTGAGGAATTCCTACAAATCAGTAAGATAATGCAATCTAAAATGAGCAACAGACAAATATATAAATTACAATCAGCACATCAGGAGGTCAAAATCAGACATCAGAGAAAAGGAAAGGAAAATCACACTGAGGCTGCAGTGCACACCCACCTGAATGGCTAACCTGACAACACCAAGTGTTGACAACAACATGGGGCCACTGGAATCCTCACACTGCTGCTGGAGTGTAAAATGCTACCACCAACTTTGGATAAATCTTTGGCATTTGTGGTACAGTTAAACATATAAACACACCATGACTCAGTTCATTCTGCTTCCAGATAATTACTTCCCAAAGAAATGAAAATAATGTCTGCAAGAAGACTGGCACACAAATGTTTGTAAGAGGTTTACTCATCATAGCCCCAAATAGGGAACAACCCAAATGTCCATCAAGAGAATGGACACGGGCCGGGTGTGGTGGCTCACGCCTGTAATCCCAGCACTTTGAGAGGCCAAGGCAGGCGGATCATGAGATCAGGAGATTGAGACCATCCTGGCCAACATGGTGAAATCCTGTCTCTACTAAAAATACACAAATTAGCTGGGCTGGGCGTGGTGGTGTGCACTTGTAATCCCAGCTACTCAGGAGGCTGAGGCAGGAGAATTGCTTGAACCCGAGAGGTGGAGATTGCAGTGAGCCAAGATTGCACCACTGCACTCCAGCCTGGTGTACATTGTGGTCTGTGCACACATGGATTACTATCTCTCCTACTCAGCAACACAAAGGACGCAACTGCTGACATGTGCAACAGGCATGAACTTCACAAGCGTCTGCAGAGTGAAACAAGCCAGACCCACCAGTGTCCACACTCCACCATCTGATGCCTATGGAGGCAACCCCCCCCCCCCACGGTGACAAAAATCAGAGCAATGATTGTGCCCCGGGGTTGTGGGTAACTCAGAAGGCACAAGGGGTCCCTTTATGGGGCCATGGGGACGTTCCATACCTGGGCTTCAGTGGTGGTCACATGGAGGTACATTTATTAAGACTCACTGAGTAGCTTTTACTTATATGTGCATTTTGGTGCATGTAATTTGTACCTCAGTTGAGAAAGAGTCCAGCGAGATAACACAACCAACAAAACATCTTACATTCAAGACTCCCAGTGCCTCTCGCTGGTGCGGATGTGGAGCAGGTGGGTGGAAGCGGGTGCAGCCGCTTTAGCAAACCGTGTCTGCTGAGTGGACTCGTGACCCAGCAATGCCACTCCTCAGCATCTTCCCACAAAAGGATGATGTGTCCAGCAAGGGTCACCTCCCAGAGTGCTCATAGCAGCTTTACCTGGACACTGCCCGACGTCCACCAGCGTGAGGGGCTGGGCCACTGTGCTTATTCCACTGGAGAGCACAGGCCTTAACCAGGCAAGACGTTGCCGTGCAGGGCTGCCGAGTAACACTGAGCCACGGACCCACGCCATGTGGCCGGAGTGAGCCACTCTGATGATGACTGACCAGGATATTGACTGGGCAAGGCCAGGGGCTGGGAACAGTCTGTTTGGTGGTTACATGCGTGTTACACAGAAATTCATTATGTGAACTTAGAATGTGTGTGCTTCAGTATGTTCTACTCAAGTTAAAAAGGAAAGAACAGGACACAAGGCAAGAAAAGCCCCTGCACGTGAGGACGGTGGAGCCTGGGCGGCTCAGGAGCCCGGGGAGCGGGGTGTGCGGCAGTGGGGCCACAGGGTCTGCTTCAGCCAAGGGCTGACCCGGGGATGGGCCCTCCAAAGTGGAGCACGTGGGAATGCGGTGGGTTCCAGCCGGGTGCTGTAGAGGGGCCAGGGCAGCCACCATGGGGTAAGAGATGGGCTAAGGGGCACCAGGCTGGCCACAAGAGCTGGGATTGGCTGCTAGAGAGAACAGGTGTGGGCGGTGGGGGGAAGGGCCAGTGGCTATAGCCTGCAGCCTCCTGAGCCCAAGCCTAGACTCAGCCCAAGCCGCAGGCCCAGGCTTGCTGGTGGCTGCAGCCTGAGCCCCCACCCACCACAGACAACGGCCTGTGGGTTCCAGGAACCAGTGTCTGAGTCATACCCAGCTGCAAGCTGGGGCCTCCAGACACTGGGGCCATCACGCCTCAGGGCAGCACCTGAGAGGAGGACTGCGCTCCTGGTGCGGTCCGGGCAGGAGTGGCCTCCAGCCGGCTTCTCAACTCCCCGTGGCCGTGGTGCCAGAAGCGATGCACATGCCCGCCGTGCTGCCCGGGCCCCAGGGAGGAGCAGGACACAACCCTTGGTGTTAGAAACGCACGGCAGCTTCGGCTCACACAGAAATGAGAAATAGAAAACCATTTTATTCGCATGGTTTACATTTACAGTTTATTAGCTAGTCAACATCAACATGCAAAAATAAGCACTAACTACAAACCTCTACAATATGGTTCTCTGTCAACTACGATGGTTCATTTGTTTTGAAAAGTCATCAGTACTTCTCTCAACTGAACGATTAATTTCTGTAATGGATAGTATTTAGACTCTACAGTTATGGAACCATCCGGCAAGGCCTCTGCAGAAACTTGGTCCCGTGGATTTCCACGTTATACATTCTCAAAGCAGGAAGTAAGGCGGCACACGGAGGGTGTGATATCGAAACTACGCACGTAGCAACACAGCCCCGCGATGTGGTATCGAAACTACGCACGTACGAACACAGTCCCACGGACACGGCCCGCGAGGCAGGCGGGCGTCCTCGAAGCCAGCCCGACGGTGGCGGCGCCAGGCATTTTGGCAGCAGCTCTCGAATGAAGCCGTGAGTGTCCCTTGTGGCGCGGCATCGCGGGTCACTGCAGGTCAGTCCAGTGCCACTGCCACCTTCCCCGGCCGGGCCAGGGCCAACGGGAGGTGGTGAAGGACCAGCCCGTTCTCCAAGTCTCATCGTTCACAGAAGGAAAGAAACTGAAAACACAGGGAAATCATGGACTCCTATATTTTAAACGTTCTAAAGTTTCCCTCAGTGTTTAGGTCAGTCTTTAAAGAAAAGTTTCCTTCGAAAGTTGAAAGTACTTTTCAGAAGCATCAAATGGTTGACGTGTTACAAAATCCTACCAATCAAAATGCTGTTTTCAAGTACAAACTTATGAAACCTTATTTTCTCTCTTCCTAAGAGTATTTATCGTTGCTCACTCATCTTTGGTCGCAAGAAACAGAAACGCCGCGGCAGGCTGGAGCGCGAGGCAGGAGGAAGGCGCGGCCTCCCCGCCCGCTGCAGCCCGTCCCCGAGGCGTGCGCTTGGCGACGTGGGGCCTACATGATGTATACCTTCTCGGCTTGTGAGAAGTGGAAGACTTCTTTGGTTCTTGGGCAAACGACTTTATCATCTTGACGGATAGAAAGCAGAGACTGAAAAATAAAACCGGGAATGCGTTAAGGCAAGCGAATACAACGTAAACAGATTTCCATGGAAAATCCCCACAACGAACCACCAGGGAATCACTCATCCTCTCAGGCAAAGCTGCTTCCCAAAGGCACACCTGCCGAAGAAATCCCGGGGCCACCCCGCCTGTCCTTCCTGCCCCTGATCCATTTCGAATGAAGCTAAGGCAGGGTGGGCAAGAGGACAGCCCTGTTCCGATGGCAACGTGTGCCAGCCTGGACCCCCTGCCCTGCCTGCCCCACACAACCCTATTCCGATGGCAGCACGTGCCAGCCTGGCCCCCCTGCCCTGCCTGCCCCACACAACCCTATTCCGATGGCAGCACGTGCCAGCCTGGCCCCCCTGCCCTGCCTGCCCCACACAACCCTATTCCGATGGCAGCACGTGCCAGCCTGGCCCCCCTGCCCTGCCTGCCCCACACAACCCTATTCCGATGGCAGCACGTGCCAGCCTGGCCCCCCTGCCCTGCCTGCCCCACACAACCCTATTCCGATGGCAGCACGTGCCAGCCTGGACCCCCTGCCCTGCCTGCCCCACACAACCCTGTTCCGATGGCAACGTGTGCCAGCCTGGACCCCCTGCCCTGCCTGCCCCACACAACCCTGTTCCGATGGCAGCACGTGCCAGCCTGGACCCCCTGCCCTGCCTGCCCCACACAACCCTATTCCGATGGCAGCACGTGCCAGCCTGGCCCCCCTGCCCTGCCCCCCTCACATTGTAGCCGTAGACGTAGCCGTTGGGCAGCATCATGGGCGGGTTGTTCTCGTTCATCACGTCGCCGGAGATCTTGCAGACCAGGCGGGAGTTGGCACAGTGGGCCATGGGCAGGGGCTGCGCCAGCTTGTTCAGGGAGCGGCTGCACACGGGGCAGTCGGGGCTCTTGGAGCTGCCGTCCTCTTTGTAGCACTGTCTGTGCGTCGGGTCAAGGAAGGGTTGGGGACCACCCAGGGTGAGCCGAGCCCCCTGTGGCCACTCTACCCCGGGCTGCATGCCATTCTGGCTATGTGAGCACCGTGCAGACCACATGGGGTATCCTTCAAGGCAAAGGAAGTGCTGCACTTGACAGCTAAACAGCCCCCTGAGGCCTGGGGGAGACAAGAAGCCCGCACCTTCCCGCCCCGGCCTCCTGCGCCAGGACCACATGCACACAGCGGCTCCGTCACCCACCACCCTCTCCCCCGCCACGCAACCTCTCCAGGCAGGACAAGAGCCACCCAGCAGGGATGTTCTGCTGGCACCTAGGAACAGGCAGTGGGCAAGCACACCAGCCCTCCCCCTCAGAGTTCCACAAAGGGGACAAGGGAGGGGGCCTGAGTCTCATTCATATCCCAGCACAGCCAGGAATCAGCGCAATCCTGAAACACTCACTGCCTTCTGGGCCTGAGTCAGGTCACACGAGAGACATTCACAGGCGGGGACAGAGTCAATCGCAGGTGAGGGCAGAGTCAGTTGTAGGAGGACAGTCACTCACAGGTGGGGGCAGAGTCAGCCACAGGTGAGAGCAGAGTCAGGTGCAAGAGAACAGTCAGGGCAGAGTCAGTCACAGGCAGGGACAGAGTCAGTCACAGGCAGGGACAGAGTCACAGGCAGGACAGAGTCAGTCACAGGCAGGGACAGTCAGTCACAGGCAGGACAGAGTCAGTCACACACAGGGGCAGAGTCAGTCACGGGTGGGATGGAGTGAATCACAGGCAGGGACGGAGTGAGTCACAGGCAGGGACAGAGTCAGTTGCTGGCTAGGAGAGTCAGTCACAGGTAGGGGCAGAGTCACAGGCAGGACAGAGTCCATCACAGGCAGGGAAGAGTCAGTCGCTGGCTGGGAGAGTCAGGCACAGGCAGGGACAGTCAGGCACAGGCAGGGGCAGAGTCACAGGCAGGACAGTCAGTCACAGGCAGGGAAGAGTCAGTCACTGGCTGGGAGAGTCAGTCACAGGCAGGGACAGAGTCAGGCACAGGTAAGGCAGTCACAGGCAAGGACAGAGTCAGTCACAGGCAGGGGCAGCGTCAGTCACAGGCAGGGACAGAGTCAGTCACAGATGAGACAGTCAGAGGCAGGGACAGAGTCAGTCACAGGCAGGAGCAGAGTCAGTCACAGATGAGACAGTCAGAGGCAGGGACAGAGTCAGTCACAGGCAGGAGCAGAGTCAGTCACAGGCGGGGACAGACTCAGTCGCAGGCGTGGGCAGAGTCAGTCACAGGCAGGAGCGGAGTCAGTCACAGGTAGGGACAGACTCAGTTGCAGGCGTGGGCAGAGTCAGTCACAGGCAGGATGGAGTCAGTCACAGGCTGGGAGAGTCAGTCACAGGCCGAGGCACAGTCAGTCACAGGCGGGACAGAGTCAGTCACAGGCGAGGACAGAGTCACAGACAGCATGGAGTCAGTTGCAGGCAGGGACAGACTCAGTCGCAGGCAGGGGCAAAGTCTGTCACAGGCAGGAAGAAGTCAGTTGCAGGTGGGACAGTCAGTTACAGGAAGGAATCAGTCAAAGGGGGACAGAGTCAGTCACAGGCAGGGCCACAGTGAGTCGCAGGTGGGGACAGAGTCAGTCGCAGGTGGGAAGAAGTCAGTTGCAGGTGGGACACAGTCAGTCACAGGAAGGAATGAGTCACAGGCAGGACAGAGTCAGTCACAGGTGGGGACAGAGTCAGCCGCAGGCAGGAGCAGTGAGTCACAGGCAGGAACTGAGTGAGTCACAGGTGGGACAGAGTCACAGGCAGGACGGAGTCAGTCACAGGCAGGCGCAGAGTCAGTCGCAGGCAGGGGCAGAGTCACAGGCAGACAGAGTCGGTCACAGGCGGGACAGTCAGTCACAGGTGGGACAGAATCAGTCACAGGCGGGGGCCAAGTCAGTCACAGGCAAGGTTCTTGGTAATCACATGGGGAAACTATTCTGAATGGTAATCTCCCAGCCGCCAGAACACATCAGAGTCAGGCTTTTAGATCAATGCTCGGTGCCCATGGCAGCATCTGAGATGACGAGAGAGAGAGAGGAAGGGCGCCATTTCCCAGAGTGAAGGCTGTGCGACGCATCCAAGGCCCCTCAACACGGCCCCACCTCGACCATCTAGACACTGTGCAGGTGCAGCACGCAGAAGCCTGGGTCTGTCTGTGGTGGGAGGACAAGGGTGGCAAGGTGCAGGGTCAGTGTGTTAAAATGTGCAGGGTCAGTGTATCAAAATGTGACCGAAGACGCGAACCCCAGGCCAAGCCGCACTGTGCACAGGAGGCAGGATACGGTGTCTTGATGGCTGAGAGGCCAGCCTGCAGGGTGAGGGTGAACACAGAGTTGTTTCCCAGCTGGTGTAGTCGGTAGTTGTCGTACCGGAACTGCTGGATCAACATCCGCCACCGTGCAGGGTCCAGGAGGTCCTGGAAGACAGAGGGCAGAGGGTGCTGGGGATGCTCCCAGGGAAGCTCCTGGGACAGCTTAAAAATGTGGGCCATGGTGGGGCAGGTGCCATCGGCCCACAGCCATCCCCCAATGACCCACACACTCTGTGCTAAGGGTCAGCACAAAGCATAACTCCCTCAAGTGTTGACTGAAACACACAGTGGGGTGAGTGGACTTAACTCTGATTTCAACACGCTGCAGGATGAGTGCTGACTTAACTCTGGTTTAAACATGCTGTAGGGCCAGTGCTGACTTAACTCTCTGATTCCATCACGCTGCAGGATGAGTGCTGACTTAACTGATTTCAACACGCTATAGGGCCAGTGCTGACTTAACTCTCTGATTGCAACACACTGCAAGGCCGGTGCTGACTTAACTCTGATTTCAACATGCTGACGGATGAGTGCTGACTTAACTTTGATTTCAACACACTGCGGGGTGACTGCTGACTTCTCTGATTTCAACATGCTACAGGGCCAGTGCTGACTTAACTCTGATTTCGACATGCTGCAGGATGAGTACTGACTTAACTCTGATTTTACCACACTGACGAATGAGGGCTGACTTAACTGATATCAACACACTGCAGGATGAGTGCTGACTTAACTCTCTGATTTCAACACGCTGTGAGGCCAGTGCTGACTTAACTCTCTGATTTCAACACGATGCGGGACAAGGGCTGACTTAACTCTGATTTCAACACACTGCGGGATGAGTGATGACTTAACTCTCTGATTTTGACATGCTGCAAGGCCAGTGCTGATCTAACTCTGATTTCAACACGCTGAGGGATGAGTGCTGACTTAGCTCTGATGTCAACACGCTGCGGGATGAGTGATGACTTAACTCTCTGATTTTGACATGCTGCAAGGCCAGTGCTGATCTAACTCTGATTTCAACACGCTGAGGGATGAGTGCTGACTTAACTCTGACTTCAACATGCTGCGGGATGAATGCTGACTTAACTCTGATTTCAACACGCTGCAGGGCCAGTGCTGACTTAACGCTGCGATTTCAACACACCGTGGGGCCAGTGCTAACTCTGTGGTTTCAGCACACTGTAGGGCCAGTGCTGACTTAACTCTGTGATTTCAACAAGCTGCGGGGCCGGTGCTGACTTAACTCTGCTGCACACTGTGACAAAAATGGACTCACAGAGTTGGAAGCACAGCTCAGTGCAGAGGGCACCTCAGAGCATTAGGTGTAAAAACTTACTTTAGAGAAATCATGTATAAAACGGAAAATAGCCAGTCCATGTTAGGTTAAAGCATCACAGAACAGAAAATTAAACCTCATTAATGTCTGTCCCTAAATAACCTCAGGTTTAGACTTGGAGAGAGAGCATGTGTGAGCACAGGAGAGAAAAACCTTTAAATCAACCCAGAAAGGCCGCTCAGCCTCTAGCGCGGGGGGGAGACGGCCACACCTGGAGGGAGGGGAGGTGGTCATCAGGGGACGTCACCCGTCAGTCTCCATAAGCTTCTCAGTCTCAGTTTAGGGTAAATGCCACACTTAAATCCAACATTTTGAAAGGCTGCTTTTAATCTCATTTTTATATAAAAATCAAAGTCTACAACAGAGGAAGCCCACAGTCCAGAAGGTCCTCACTGAGAAGGAACAGCTCCTGGCACCCTCACTCCCCAGGACCAGTTGCCTCTGGGGCTCTGGCAGCTTCCGCCATTCTCTGAACAAAACGCTTCCTCCTGTTTCTTGCCTGACCCATGGCAACGGGGCCCATGTTCTTGCCACGAGACATGGTTTTGCCCCCTGAATCTGGCAACTGATGAGCCTTGGGGCTAGTACTGCCTGCCTCCCTCTTTACCGCACTGCAGGGCTGCGTCCGGCGAGAGGTGCACGCTCCACCTGGCCTAGGCCCAAAGTCTCAGCCCCCCGTATGTGTCAGCCTTTCTTGCATTTCTAACAAAATCCTCTCCAGAGCAAGCGACAGAAACAAGGTGCCAACTGACAATCTGGGAAGCTTAGACTCCACCCCCGAAGATCCTCTTGACCTAATGATGGTTTATTACGAGATGTCCCAAACGCCTGAGATCCAGGAGAATTCAGGCTGAGAAAGCTTCCAGCAGCTTTCAGAAGGCAGCAGGTCTAGGTCTGCCCAGGGCTTTGCAGTCCCTACAGGGTGGTGGGTGGGGGCTGCTGGGAAACACCCCTGCCTCTGACAGAGACCGGCGCCAGGCTCAAAGAACAAACTGTCAACTCCAGGAGGTTTCATCCGCTTCCCCCTTTTCCAGGAACTGAAACTGTTCCCAGCGTTGATGAGCACAGGGGTGGGCATGGGGGTGAGCACACGGTGGGCATGGGGTGGTTGCAAGGGTGGGTACACAGTGGGCACAGGGGTGGGTGCAGGGGTGGGCACACGGTGGGCATGCGGGTGGGTGCAGGGGTGGGTACACAGTGGGCACGGCGGTGGGTGCAGGGGTGGGCACACGGGCATGGGGGTGGGTGCAGGGGTGGGTACACAGTGGGCATGGGAGTGGGTGCAGGGGTGAGCACACGGGCATGTGAGTGGGTGCAGGGGTGGGTACACAGTGGGCACAGAGGTGGGTGCAGGGGTGGGCACACGGGCATGTGAGGGGGTGCAGAGGTGGGTGCAGGGGTGGGCACACAGCACGGGGTGGGTGCAGGGGTGGGCACACGGTGGGGGCAGGGTGGGTGCAGGGGTGGGCATGGGTGCAGAGCGGAGCCACTCACCCGGGAGCAGCTGGCTGCTGGGTTGGGTCCAGGTCTGAGCACAGGGTGCTGGTTAGTGATGGCAGAACCCCCACCCCTACCCCAGTGACCACGGAGACTTGGAGGCTCCAATATGTACAGGTAAAATACAAAACGTCGCACGAGGACCATGGAAACCACAGAAGATGGTGCAGCCTAACACCTGACTCGGGCTGCAGACAAAGGAGAACCAGGGAACAGGGCAAGGAAGCTGGGCCCCGGCTGAACACGCCAGGCTTAAAAGCTTCCTGAACCTTTCTCATTCAACTTTTTTTTTGGAGACAGGGTCCCGCTCTGTCACCCAGGCTGGAGTGCAGTGGCACAATCTCGGCTCACTGCAGCCTCAACCTTCTGGGCTCAAGTGATCCTCCCACCTCAGCCTCCTGGGTAGCTGGACTATAGGCAGGTGCTACCATGCCCAGCTAATTTACAAAAAAATTTTTTTTGTAGAGACGGGGTGTCACTATGTTGCCCAGGCTGGTCCCAAACTCCTGGGCTCAAGTGATCCTCCCACCTCAGCCTCCCAAAGTGCTGGGATTCCAGGGGTGAGCCGCCACACACAGCCCTGATTCAAAATTCTTATGAGCAAAATGGGAATTGAACAAGAAAAGCCTGTCTTGGCAGGCTGGACAGGCCGTGTGGCTGGGACAGGGCCCTCACGTCCTGCCCCGTGTATGGCAGCAGTTACAGACCAGAGACACACCTTGCATCCCCACCCCATCACGACACCGACCTGCGGACGCAGGTCCTACCTTGTACGGGGAGATGTGCGTGTCGGGCGGGAAGGCCAGCATGCCCATGGCCTGGCGCACCTCGTCCAGCTGGCTCCCTTCTGCTTGGCTGAAGTGCTTTCTCGCGTGTCTAAAAAACAACATTTTGGCACATGTAAGTTTGCGTTTTTATTTTAATTTTTAGAGACAGGGTCTTACTCTGTCACCCAGGCTGGAGTGCAGTGGCACAGTCACAGCTCACTGTAGTCTCGAACTCCCGGGCTCAGGCGATCCTCCCAGGAAGCTGAGACCGCAGATGTGCGGCACCACGCCCAGCTAATGTAAAAAACGTCTTATTAGAGACAGAGTCTCGCTGTGTTGCCCAGGCTGGTCTCCAGCTCCTGGGCTCAAGCCATCTTCGTGCCCCAGCCTCCCAAAGTGCTGGGATTATAGGCATGACCCACTGTACCCGGCCTGCATTCTTAAGTTGAAAAATCTGAGCTAACAGCGTTTATGTCAGAGTCTAGGTACAAAGTAATCGCCTCACTCCAAGCCGACCTGCTGAGTGGGGCTGGGATGGCAGGAGGTGCAGCTCACCTGAGGCTGGAGAAGCAGCTACCAGACACTCCTTCCCCCAGGGACAGGGCACCCAAGCCACACACACAACCCACGGAAAACACCAGAACTGCAAATGGCACCTGCCCCTCAGGCCTCTCCAAAGCGATTCTGGTTTACAAGGAACCCAAACCTTAAGGACTCCCACTGACCCTGGATGCTTGCCTCCGTGGCCCCTATGGCCCCAGTGGACCCAGCAGACCAAGAATGTGTAGTCTGCTCGACTGCAGTCCTTGCTGTTCGGCAGTGACACCCAGCACAACCTTCCAAAGAACAGCCTCCCTCAGCCCACAGGCTGGACTCCCTGCAGATCCGGCCCAGCCCTCTCAGCCCTGAGCCTGCCACACACCACATGCAGCCACAATGTTTCCTGAGCCAACTCTGCAAGATGCACACAGGCCCGCTCCAGGACAGAACCCCACTCCAGTCTGTGGCTAGACAACTAAGAAACCAAAGCAGAACATGACAGGCCCCTTTCGAGCTGATCAAGAGGGCACCTGCTCACCCCAAGGGCCCCCATTCCATGCCCCCCCACACACACAGGGTCACCGTCCCTCTGGCTGTCCTGAGGACCTGCACCCCCATGTCCCGACCCTCACATGGGCCCCTGTGCACCCCACGTCCTCAGCCCTCAAGGCCCCTCCCCCAAAGCGACCCCAATGCACAGAACCTCAAGTCCCACGTATGAGTCAGCCCTGTGCTGTCCAGAACAAGGCATGTACCCAGGAACACGGGGCTGAGGAGGTGCCGGGTGCTCATGGTGGCCTCGGAGAAGAGGCAGTGACTGGCAGAGACTGGAGTTAGTGCAGGAGGTGCCCCCGCAGCCCCTTGATGGATGGCACGGTGACCATGTGGTGGAGGCACCACCAGGGGAGCCTGGGGCAGCAGGGAGCGGGGGGTGCCCAGGCTTGGGACCCAGCCTGGAGAGTCCACACGGCCAACCCCGCAGGACATATGCAGGGACTGGGAGTTGGGGGTGAGTCCACACGGTCGACCCCGCAGGGTGCATGTACAGGGGCTGGGGACGGCCATCCGAGATTCCAGTGCCTGTGCATCTCCCTCCTGGAGTGTGTGGGGGGGTGTGTCTGAGTCCACGAAGAGCCCCACCCAACCCCCTCATTCCATCTCTGGAGACAAGTCACCCTTCGTCCTACGCCAAGACGTGCCCAGAACACGGCCCACCAGGGCTGTTTCATTCAACGGGCATCTCACCTCCTCCCAGAGCTGCTGAAGAGGGAATTTAATCTCTGTGGTTGATATCTATGAGATCTCATTTGCGTGACCTGGTTTACGCATCTTATCTCACTATCAATCAAACCCCAGACGGGTGAGGCGAGACTTCCCTGACCAGGCCCTGGCACCTGGAGACCCACTCCCAAGACGGCCCCAGCAGAGGACGTAGCTCACACCGCGCCTGCCCCCGAGCACCGGGGTGTTGTTTGCCACGCCTGCCCCACTGGGTGCGGAGGCTTCAGCGCAGCACATGTCTGCGTGGGGGAGGAAGGACACGCACTTCCTGGGACCTGCCTGCTCCTCCGTAACAGACGAGGCCGTAGAGGGCACAGCTCTGAGCTCGGCTCCAGACATGATGAGGCGTAGGCCCTGCGAGTCTCCAGGGCAGATTCTACCCAGAGTGGGGTAAACACAGGCAAACAGACCCCACCCAGAGCAGGGGGGACACAGGCAAACAGACCCCACCCAGAGTGGGGCAAACACAGGGAAACAAACCCCACCCAGAGCGGGGGGGAAACAGGCAAACAGACCCCACCCAGAGTGGGGAGAACACCAGCAAACAGACCCTTCGCGGAGCCAGCTGCCAGCCAGATGAAGACACCTGTGACAGGAGGGGCTGCAGGGAGGACTCCAGGATGGACATGTTTTGTTCTCAGACTCCTGGGCTGACAGTGGCCGGGGCCCTCAAGGAGACGGAGGCTGACTCGGGATGGAAGCAGGCTGCGGCCGGACAGAGGCCAGAGACACAGGCACCGAGGCTGCACGGAGGAGGCCAGAGCAGAGCAGGAGCCCCTCCTCCTGACAAGGCGCCCCGGCCGTGTCCCCGGAACGCTCACACGCCGCTCTCCATTGGGTTGGGTCCTGAGACCCCCGCTTTAGCCCTCTCAGGCACAGAAGGGCAGTGAGCTCCCCTGCTGCAGGGCCTGGCTCACTTGTGCGTGAAAACGAGGCCTGATCTGCCACCATGCATCCAGGTTGGCATCAGGAGCCAGAGCAGGACCCCGGGCCTCCAGGGCCCACGCAAGGACAGGGTCTCGCAGCAGTTCTGCCGTGCGTTGTGGGGACCACCCTCAGCACCTCATCACGGGACGCCCACTTCTCCGAATCAGCCCTCTGTGGAACACTCGGCCACCCAGCCCGCTGCAGGTGGATATGGAGTCGCGGCCGGGTTTCTGTGGGCACGGACAGGCAGCCCCTCCTGGCAAACACACCTGCTGGGCACTCGCCCAGGAGCTTTGGGCCCGCCCCAAACAGCAACTCAAGCGTCACCGCGAGGCTTGGCTGCTCAGGAACCTCCACAGAAGTGAGTGAGATGACCCAGCACTGAAGGAGCAGCCCTGCCCTGAGACAGGGTGAGCACGACTGGCCGACACCGCCCAGGCCAGGCACCCACTGCTGCCTGACGATGCCCACTCTGGAGAGCCAGTGGGAAGCCAGCGGACAGCCTCTCTTGCTTTGCAGATGCCGTGCACCCTAACTGGGCTGAGCCACAGTGACAGCCAGCATCCCCTCCTCAGGCCTGACTGCCAGGGCGCCGCTGGCCTCAGCACACTGCACAGCACCCTTGTGTTGGAGACAGGCCAGGGACCCCAGAGTGCCCTCGCCACACGCTGTCAACACTCCCCAGTGACCCTGAGGGACATTCCCAAGCTCAGGGCACTTGGAGCCACCTGAGGACCACACGTCAGAGACACGCCCAAACTACAGAGGCTGGCGGCACTTTCCTGCGTGGAAAGGGGCTACCGGGAGTCATGTTTTACGCGGATGGTCGGGACGTCAAACTGGTTCCCCTGGCAGCCATGGGGGTCTGGGTGCCCACCTGGGGCCACACTTTGGTGGGGGCCCTGTCAGGCTCCAGGCCTCACTCCCCAAGTCCCATTCAGGAACAGTGGGAGAAGCAGCCACCTGAGTGGGCAGGGGTCAGACTCAAGACCCAGGGGACATCCCAGGACCCAGAACACGACAGGAAGGGCTGGCGGGGGCCGCAGCCGAACATCCTGCCCTCCCTCGATTTGCCGCACGACCGCGATGCCTACCTCACGGCGTCCAGTCTCTTATTCTGCCGGATGAGTTCAATGAACTCCTGGATTCTGAGGCTGAACTCCAGGCAGCTCTGAAGGCAAAGACAAGACGAGGCTTAGACAGCACATCCCACAGAGCCCGGGTGCCCGGGTGCCGCACCCACACGTCCACCAGCAGACCCCACAACCAAAGCTCTGAAACCCTCTCTCACAGGCACCAGGAAGGCAGGGCTGAGGCTGAAGCTGCCACTACAACCTGCGGCTGACTTTCCGGGGACCACGGGTCCTGAACGTGAGTCCCGCCCCTGCTCCTGCAGCTGCGCTGACTTTCCGGGGACCACGGGTCCTGAACGTGAGTCCCGCCCCTGCTCCTGCAGCTGCGGCTGACTTTCCGGGGACCACAGGACCTGAACGTGAGTCCCGCCCCTGCTCCTGCAGCTGCGGCTGACTTTCCGGGGACCACGGGTCCGCTGATCCTGCTTTCCGGGGCCACGGCCTGAACGTGAGTCCCGCCCCTGCTCCTGCAGCTGCGGCTGACTTTCCGGGGGGCACGGGTTCTGAACGTGAGTCCCGCCCCTGCTCCTGCAGCTGCGGCTGACTTTCCGGGGGGCACGGGTCCTGAACGTGAGTCCCGCCCCTGCTCCTGCAGCTGCGGTGGGGCGTGCAGCCGCCCAGCATTTCAACTCGAAGGCCGGGGCACTCAGGGTGCTCCCGGGAGCGCAGGCCTGGGAGACGCTGGGAGGGCAGAGCAGCAGGTGCGGCCGCTGGACCAAAGGCACCAACCCCTCTGCAAGGACAAAGCAGCTTCCTGGCTCCTGCCCTGAGGCCCCTGCTTCCTCCTTTACACCCCCACCGGGCCTCTGGACCCATCTGTCCCGAGTGTAGACTGGGTGCTGGCTTGAGCCTGGGGCTGTTCTGGGAGAACGTGGGCAAGTCCTGTCCTGAGGCACTGAGGCCCAGGGCGGGGAGGAGACAGTGACCACACATGGGGGTGCTGGGTGGTGCCTCACAGGAGCATGAGGCAGAGAAGCAAGCTTGGAGCAGGCAGGACCCAGGGCAGCAGGTCAGGGAGCGCCTGTGCCGAGGTTATGGACGGGGGACCGCACAGACACCGGGTGAGAACACGGCCGGCAGAAGCCAGGGCCAGCGCCGAGGCCCCAGGCAGGTGGCACATGGAACGGAGGCCTGGTCCAGGGGACACTGAGGTCCTGGGTGGCTGCGAGGCCAAGGGGCGGCTCCCGTGAAGGGAGGGTGCTTCCAGGATGTGTGGGAGACGGAAAGAGGCCAGGTCGGGGCTGCTGGCTGACAGCAGCATGCCTGAGGCGGGGGCTGGGGCGGAAGCTCCTGCAGGACCAAGTCCCACATGCGTCTGCCTCTGAGTCGCTCACGTGCAGCTAAGGGAAACCCACGGAAGCCCAACCCTCACTCTGAAATCTCAGCAACCTCAGTCCAGTGTGGGCCGAGACTTGTGGCTGGGGTGGGAGCAGCGGCAACATCGACCAAAGTCATCCAAGACGAGACGCGGATGCTACAGAAGGGCCATGTCCGTCTAAACCGTAAGATCTTCTGTGTGATTTCAGGACATTCTCGGGGCTTCACCCCGCAAACAGGATATAGGCGGGGGCACCACGGAGCAAGTCTTGGGCTGGGGCCACATTGGTCACTCTGAGTTCACGTGGTCTGGATCTCAGGATGGCACGAACAGAAACTCTACGTGGCAAATGAATCCACCCCAGATCACTGTATTTAAGTCGAAGCTCATCACTTCCATTTCCCAGAGCTTTTCCCACTGAGTTTTCTGAGGGGCCACCTGTGCTCCAGCCCACCCTGCCTGCCTGCCTTGCTGCCCCGACACACAGAGCACCCACAGCAGTGGCTCCGTGTGGGCGTGGGGAGGGGCTGCCCAGACCCGGGGGCCAGCCAAGGCGCCGAGAGCCACCTGCCTTCCAGGGTGGGGTTCAGAGGGGCTCAGGTCCCTGCCCTGCTGCCCCTGTCCTGTGCCCTCAGCCCCTCACCGCCCTGTGTCCCTAGACAGACAGGTCAACAGGCTGTACGCAGAACTCACAGGCTTGCTCCAAACTGGGGCAGGAGGACTGTCTCTGACCCCAGCAGTGGCATAGGCTCTGGGCGGGGGGTGCCAGGCTTGGTACAAACCAGCCCAGAGGCACGAGGTCACTGCAGGGTCCCCAGTCCCCACCCCACTAATCAGTAGACAGACTTTGGTCAGCACTCCACTCCCTTCAGAGCCAGCCCGGCCGGAGAGCAAGGGAAGGGCCAGTGGGAAAAGACAGAGGCTCCCCACCAGGGCCCCACCTGCCTCCCAGGGGCCGCCTGATGGCTGCCGTGTCCAGAGCAGGCGAGTGCTGGGGCTCCGTCTAAAGGCAGGAAGCAGCTGCCGAGGGGGTGCTCTAGAAGACCAGGACTCTGCGCCCACTCTAGGTTACCGCTTCACACAGTAGACACCTCAAACCTGCTTTTCAATGACACCTTTTGCTCTAGTAGGTTACTTTCAATTGGTCCACTAACACATAAGTGTGTCTATGTCGTGAAACTTAGGTATTCAGACCCAAATCTAAAACACCGAGTCTACGCTGTCCCACACAGCATGGAGCGCCAAGGCTGTGCCCACCCTGAGACAGGCGCCCACACTGGTGGCTCTGTGTGGCTTTCGCACAGACGTGAGGCACACAAACCACTGGGTCTTCAGGGCCACTTGCCCACCCAGGCCTGTGAAATCCATTTCCCAGCCAGGTCAAACTTGGGCCTCAAGTTTCTTTTCCCATCGAGGCTCTCGTGGCTGGTCCGAGGGACCCATGAGGGCACCGTCTGGCTCCTCCCTGTCTCCCCACATGCTCCCTGGCGTGTGTGCACATGTGAGCAGACTGCACAGACAGCCATGTACCCCGCCTGGCTCAGTTGCATCTCATACCGGGCATGTTTTCGTGTCATTTGGAGTCTTCAGGGTTCATTTCTGGACAGCATCCAAACATGGATTCAGGCCCCATCCAGTCTCAACTTCATCCAACACCAGGCACGCTCATCCAATCTCAACTCATCCAACACCAGGCACGCTAATCCGCCAGGCATCCAATCTCAATTTCATCCAACACCAGACACACTCATCCGCCAGGCATCCAATCTCAAATCATTCAACACATATCTCAAATTTATCCAATACCACGCACACTCGTTCCCCAGGCACGCATTCAGGACCCCAACTCCTGGCCCTGCCTGTCCCCACAGCAGCTTCAGACAAGTCGTGTGCCTGCAGCAAGCCCCCAACACCCTCCAGCAACACTGTCTGGTAGGTAACCAGGGCTTGCAGAAATATCCTGGCAGCACCAAGAACCTATCTTCCCTCTGAGGTCCACATGAAACAGCCCCGGCAGAGTTCCCACCGTGAGGCGTGTGCCGGCTCTCTGGGAGGGAGTGTGGGGCTGGCACTGTGTGGTGGGGCCGTGGGTTACATACCAATTCTGGCTTTCCTTTCAGGGTTTCCACAACAACATCCTTACTCTCTTAAGGGGAGCCACTGGCCGCTCCGCTTTTTCACCCCGTCTTTGCTTCGTGCTTGTTTTGGTGGCCCTGAGTGGCAGTGTGTCACTCCTGGCTGGTAACTGTGTGCACCCTGCCAAACTCAGCCAGGGTGGGGTTAAAGCAGTGCTCAGTTTAGAAAACAGAAGAGTTTTGCTGATGGAGGCAGAGGTGTTAATATAAAACATTTCTGCAAGCCCCTAGGGTGACAATGCCTTTTAATAAGCAGGTTTAAATTCTGTCATTTAACAGTCCATTTCTTAAGCCTCTTTTGGTCTCTAGAAAAGTGGGTACTTGGCCGGGCACAGTGGCTCACGCCTGTAATCCCAGTACTTTGGGAGGTTGAGGCAGGCAGATCACAAGGTCAGGAGATTGAGACCATCCTGGCCAATGTGGGGAAATCCCATGTCTACTAAAAATACAAGAATTAGCTGGGCATGGCGGCACGTGCCTGTAATCCCAGCTACTCAGGAGGCCGAGGCAAGAGAATCGCTTAAAGACGGAGGCAGACATTGCAGTGAGCCAAGATTGCGCCACTGCACTCCAGCCTGGCGACAAAGCAAGATTCCGTCTCAAAAAAAAAAAAAAAGAAAGAAAAGTGGGTATTCGTGAACAATATCACAGCCCAGAGCTCTGCAGCGTCGCAGATGGAGAATGGCTTTCCGACTAGCTTTTCTGTGTCTGTAACTGACTGCAGGGAGCCACGGAGCAGCCCCCATGGAGCAGGACTGATGTGTCTCTGGGCTCCGAGCCCAGAGCCCCAAACATGCTATGTACACGTGGTCAGCCTCCCGTAACCGATCCCTCTGAGCCTCATGCCAGGTGTATGCAAACTGCAATGCCAAATGAGGTGCACTTTTCCGGATTTTAGCCTAAAAGTGTAACACAACCACCAAAAAAACTCCCAAACCCAACCCCCACCTTACAAACCAAAACCAAACTACTGTGAACCACCAGGCGAGGGGGTGCTGGCTGCAGGGCGGGTGGCGCGGCCTCGGCCCCGACCCACCCCACCCCAACCCGGGAGTCTGTGCACCTTCATCTTCCGCAGCCGGGACTTGTTGTCATGGCACCAGGCCAGGCAGGTGGCCGTCTCACGCCTCTCCAGGGACTCCTCCACCTCTTTGGCCGTCAGGAACATCTCAATATTCACTAGGTCCTTAGAGGAAGGAAGCAGCTCCTGGTCAGAATGTGCTGACTCAAGGCCCCCACGCCACCCTCCCGCACCCCGGCCTCCATGAGGCAGGGCCCAGCACCAGCCACCACTCGAGATGCATCTCCAGTCCACATGGTGAGTCTGCACTCATGGACTCCCCAGGGCTGCTCTGAGATCTGAGGAACAGAATAGCCCCCAAGGACCAAAAGGTCAGACGCTCACGTGGACAGCAGCCATGGCCAAGCAAGGGAGCCAGGCTGGCCTCGCCTGTCCCATGGAGAGGAGTTGCAGAGACACACACGCAGGCGGGGCCAGGCCACGTACCAGGTGGGGCCAGGACATGTGCCAGGCGGCCTCATCTCCACTCCCCACAGCCCCCCAGCACATCTACAGCCCCTCCCTGGGCAGCCCCCTCATTTCAAAATCAACAGTAAGTGAATAATAACATGGTAAATAATACATAAACACACTATAGCTAGTATCACGGTAGTTAGAACTGATGATTTATATATATAAAAAAAGAAACCCAAAGTAACCCAGGCTTAGCATCGAGGCTCTGCGAGTGGCCGGGCACAGGGGGTGGGTGCTCAGTGCCCAGCAGTGGAACCCATGGTCACCGGCTGAGGCAGGACAGCAGCCAGCCCTGGACTCCACCAGGCACTGCGAGGCTGGGGGTGAGGGCGCACGTGGTCCTCAGCAGCGATGGCTCCCGACCTTCCCCAGTGGGACCAAGGGCAGCACCTCTGCCCGCACATGGCCCAAGACCCAGTGGCCTAGCGCGAGGCCACAGATCACCCCTTGGGTCCCACAGCCCCATGTCTGGACACCGGCCTCACAGACGCGCAGTTTTCTTTGATGATTTCCCTTTTCTGAAACCCCTCATGGCATTGTTTTCTTGCATCTTTTCTTTGATGATTTTTCTGAAACCCCTTCATAGTGTTTTCTTGCACGTTTGCTTTGATGATTTCTCTTTGCTGCAGCCCCTTCACGGCAGGCGGATGTTGGGTCTCCCACAAAGTCTTGCTTTGTTTTGCAACTTAAAAACAAAAATTTTTTTTTTTTTGGTGACAGGGTCTCGCTCTCTTGTCCAGACTGGATGGAATGGCAGTGAGATCATGGCCCACTGTTGCCTCCAGTTCCTGGGCTCAAGTGACCATGCCACCTCAGCCTCCTGCGTAGCTGCGACTATAGGCACACACTATCACGCCCAGTTAATTTTTTATTTTTATAGAAATGGGGTCTTGCCACATTGCCCAGGCTGGTCTTGAACTCCTGGGCTCAAGTGATCCTCCCACCCTGGTCTCCCAAAGGCCTTGTTTTGTAGTTTTGCTCTAAATTTCAGGAGGTGGCTCCTGGTCTGTCTCCTGCCTCATGTCCCATCCGCACAGCCTCGGGGTCTGAATGCAGCTGGATCTCTCTCACTGAGGGTTTCTCCAATGTCTGGGTCTCTGGTTGTGAGAGTCACAGGAAAGATGTGAGGCCAGCTGGCAGCAGGCTTGTACGTCAACTGAAACTGGAAACCGTCTAAGTGAACCGGTTTTCTGTCTCACACAAAATGCTCATGCTAACTTTTGTTTGTTTTGAAACAGGGTGTCGTCCTGTTGCCCAGGCTGGAGTGCAGTGGTGAGATCTTGGCTCACTGCAGCCTCCACCTCCTGGGCTCAAGTGATCCTCGCACTGCAGCCTCCAGAGTAGCTGGGACCCCAGGTGCCCGCCACCACTCCCAGCTGATTTGAAAAAAATTTTGTAGAGAAGGCTTCTCACTTTGTTGCCCTGGCTGGTCTCAAACTCCTGGGCTCAAGGCAGCCTGGTGCTCTCTTGGGCGGCCTTCCCTGGGCAGCAGCCTTCCTGTCCTGTTCCTGGGTGGCCTTCCCTGGGCGGCAGGCGTCCCGTCCTGTTCCTGGGCGGCCTTCCCTCGGCGGCAGTTTCCTGTCCTGTCTCATCTGGGACCTTCCTCCAATCCAGAGCATGTGGGTATTTTCCTAAGTTTGTTATGTCTCCAATTTTGGTGCACAGGAATTTTGGTGCACAGGAATTTTGGTGCACAGGTATGAAACCAGAGGTCCCGTGTGGGAATTCCATGGCGCCCCCTACAGGAAGTCCAGGTCTGACCAGTGCAGCAGGGGTTTACATTTCCACAGCCTGGCAGTTCTCCCTCGGCCACAGCAGCACCTTCCCCGGGGCCTCCTGGTGCTGTGGTCACCTGTGGTCAAAAGCGATTCCTCAACGCCCTCGGGAGCATCTCAGCAGGAATAACTCCTCCCCCGCAACCCAGTCCTCGTGGGCTCCACACATGCCCGCCTTCTTCCATACAGCAGCTCCAGGCCCTCTTTGGGACAGACACGCTCAGGGCGCCCCAACACCTCGAGTCTAGCCTGTCTCATCCTGCTGAGACCTACTCCAGCCGGCCTTAGAATCATCAGCCCTTCCATATCCACCCTGCTCTACGCACCCCTGTGGAACATGTGGCCCGTGCCCACCACAGGACCCCCTTCTTTCACCTCACGCCTCTCTCCCCCAACACAGCACACGTTCCCTGGGGCCAGGGGCACCCACAGCTTATGCTTCAGCAGGCACCGCCAGATGTGCTTGGCCACACCCCCGCAGGTTCCAAGGACAGTGTGCTGGACGTTTAGTAGAGGAGAGCCAGGTTATCTGTGAACACGCCGAGGGGCTGCCCCAGGCAGCCAGGACATGTGGGCAGCACAGAGAGAGGGCCTGTGCACTGGGGGAAGCCGGGCACACGGGGCCAGGGAGGCAGGTGGGTAGGACAGGCATGACGGACAGGGGCACCGGAGTGACATGTGCTGGCCCCACTGTCAGTCACGTGAGCCTTGGCAGGTGCAGGTGAGAATGCCCTTCCCTGACACCCAGGTGGAGGAAACACGGCACCAGATGGGGGCCACAGGAGCCTAGCAGGCAGCGTGGCAGAGGCAACACAGATGAGCTCGTCCAGCGACAAGAATGCTGGGTGCACACTGGAGCAGCTGCGAGTCATGATCTGGAGACCTCAGACACTTGACAAGACCGCAGGGCCGCCGGGGGCACCAGCCCTGGCCACCGCAAAGGACCAGTGCACTTTGCCATCTGGCAGATCCACTCACGGAACGGCTGTGACACGTCACATTCACATCTGTGAACCGAGACGCCACACCCCAGGGGTGCCAAGAGCAACAGTGTTGCGCGGGTGTGGGCAGGTGAGCACCTCTAGGACACGAGGACTCACTCGCTCACCCTGCCCACTGGGCAGCTGCTCGCCACTCCCCTCCTGAAGAACAGGATGGACACTGCACACACACCAGCAGGGAGGCCGTGCAGCAGCGGGGAGAAGGCACGGGTGGGAGGGTGCCGCTCCACCCAGGGCAGCATCTGAGAGAAGCTGAACCAGGCTCGGGACAAATGCCGAGGACAGGAGCCAGTGGCGGGGGGCCAGGTGGGTCTCTGGGTGAGTCCGGAATGTGGGGCCTGCGGGTGAGTCCAGAGTGTGGGGCTGGGTGGGTCTGCAGGTGAGTCTGGAGTGTGGGGGCCGGGTGGGTCTGCAGGTGAGTCTGGAGTGTGGGGCCGGGGTGGACGTGCAGGTGAGTCTGGAGTGTGGGGGCCGGGGTGGACGTGCAGGTGAGTCTGGAGTGTGGGGCCGGGGTGGACGTGCAGGTGAGTCTGGAGTGTGGGGCCGGGGTGGACGTGCAGGTGAGTCTGGAGTGTGGGGCCGGGGTGGACGTGCAGGTGAGTCTGGAGTGTGGGGCCGGGGTGGACGTGCAGGTGAGTCTGGAGTGTGGGGCCGGGGTGGGTCTGCAGGTGAGTCTGGAGTGTGGGGCCGGGTGGACGTGCAGGTGAGTCTGGAGTGTGGGGCCGGGTGGACGTGCAGGTGAGTCTGGAGTGTGGGGGCCAGGGTGGGTCTGCAGGTGAGTCTGGAGTGTGGGGTCGGGTGGATGTGCAGGTGAGTCTGGAGTGTGGGGCCAGGTGGGGCTGCAGGTGAGTCTGGAGTGTGGGGCCGGGTGGACGTGCAGGTGAGTCTGGAGTGTGGGGCCGGGTGGACGTGCAGGTGAGTCTGGAGTGTGGGGCCGGGTGGACGTGCAGGTGAGTCTGGAGTGTGGGGCCGGGTGGACGTGCAGGTGAGTCTGGAGTGTGGGGCCGGGGTGCGTCTGCAGGTGAGTCTGGAGTGTGGGGCCTGCAGGTGAGTCTGGAGTGTGGGGCCGGGTGGACGTGCAGGTGAGTCTGGAGTGTGAGGCCGGGGTGGACGTGCAGGTGATTCTGGAGTGTGAGGCCGGGGTGGGTCTGCAGGTGAGTCTGGAGTGTGGGGGCCGGGGTGGGTCTGCAGGTGAGTCTGGAGTGTGGGGCCTGCAGGTGAGTCTGGAGTGTGGGGCCGGGTGGACGTGCAGGTGAGTCTGGAGTGTGGGGCCGGGTGGACGTGCAGGTGAGTCTGGAGTGCCCAAGAGCAGGGGAGCTGGGCAGGAGTGGGATGGGAGTGTGGGGGAGGCTGTGAGCCAGCAGGGCCTGCAGATGGCTGCATGGGAGCGTGAGTGTGGCCCCACGGGCACCTGAGGCCTTGGACTGCAAAATGTGAGGCCGCCTCCAAGGCCGGGAAGGGAGCCTTGTGCTGGGGTTGAATGTGGCCAGGGCTGACGTCCATCACGCCCCAGGTGGGAGCCACACACATGTGGGTGGGATTTAAGCCATGGAAAGAGAAGACCCCTGGTTAGGCGGAAGCAGGGTGGATGTGGGCTAAGGAGCCATGGCAGGGAGTGGCATGGGAGGGAGGCCTGTGGGGCCAGGTGCATGGCCGGGCATGGGCTCGGGGCAAGCCATGGGGCACGCTCCTCTTGCACAAATGCTGCCTGAGAGGTTCTCAAGCGTTGTCATCTTAGTCAAATGGAACACGGATGCCACCTTAACCTGAGTCAGGTGAGGCCGTGCACCCACAGCGGGATCTGGACAGGGGCAAGTGCAATGGGCTCAAGTGCTGATCTAGGAGGTTCCAACTGCCATGGGCCCCCACGGCGGTGGACAAAGCCCGATGGCGGAGGGGCTGCCCCAGTTAACCTGGCCCAAAGGTGCAGAAGAGTCTATCAAGGCAGCCGAGGGCAGAGGGCAGCACCGCCCGGTATCTGCTCAGCTGTACCCGTGGAGGGCAAGGGTCCCACATGTTTCTACAGCCAAACAGGGTGCCGCAGAAAATACAGAAAACGTACTCCGCCTGAGATAAAGGCAAAGCTCTCACAAGGCAGCAAGGGAGCACGTGCCAGTGTGAAACCCAGGGTGCAGGTATCGGGTGGGAAAATCCTAAGCAGGATGTGTGGAGACGCCACAGGGAAATGAGAAGAACCCGGAGAGCCGCTTAGACACTGACTTTCTGCCTTCAGAAGGCGAAGCCCCAGCTGCGTTTCCACAAAGGGTCAGGGCCTCTCAGCTAGGGAGGAGGCCCTCACCACAGCGCAGACACACACGTGGCTGGGGAGACACATGCACATGGAGGGGGGACACGCACATGGGGGGAGGGGGGAAGGGGACACGCACACGGGGGTTGGGACACGCACACGGCGGGAGGGGAACACATGCACATGGGGGAGGGGGACACGCACACTGGAGGGGGGGGACATGCACACGGGGGGAGGGGGACACACACACGAGGGGAGGAGAACACACGTACACGGGAGAAGGGGGACACACACACTGGAGGGAGGGGGACGCACACACTGGAGGGAGGGGAATACACACACACGGGGGTGGGGACACGCACATGGGGGGAAGGGGGACACACACGGGGAGGGGAACACACGCACATGGGCACCCACCTCGATGCCGCTCTGGCGTGCCAGCTTGACGGCCGTGTTGTAGTAGCCGCAGCGCAGCAGGTGCTCCACCATCATGCGGTCCATGCGCTTCCTCTTCCACACGCTGGCCGCCGCGGGCTGGTCGCTGCTGTGCTCTTTGAGGTGCTCGATCCGGCGCTTGCACAGCTTGGCGCTCTCGTCCTCGGCCTGGATGGACTCCACCGCCTGAGCCACACACAACAGAGACCGGGTCAGGACAGGGACGCCCTGCAGCCCTGCGCCAAGGGAGGCCAGGCTGCCCCAACCCACAACACTCACACGGAGAAAAGCGGGGATCGCGGGACAGGGAAAACCATGCTCTACCGAGTCCGCCAGGCAGCTGTGCCTGGCCCAAGAGCTGCAGACGGAGGCAGTGAAAAACCCACCATCCGGATCTGCAGCTTCTCTGTTAGTTCCGCCTTTATATTGATGTACCCTGAAGCCATGTCGCCAGATGCATGCACCTTTAAATTTGCTGTGCCTTTCTGGTTAAACTGTTTATGGTTATAAGGTAACTTTAACAAATCTTTCGCAATACTTTTTTCTTAAAGTCAATTTTGTTAAAAATGAATCGAGCCAGACAGAAACGTTCCAGGCCTGCGCTGCCCAACACAGCTGCCACTGGCCCACGTGGCTGCCACACACTGAAGGGCAGTGGTGCAACTGAGGAACTGAACTCTTCATTACAGTTTAACAGCACGCACGGCGACTGACTACTGGACAGATCCAGGACTCAGGCTGGCTTCCTTCAGCACATTCTACGAATCTTGGCTTCCAACTGCTGTGCAGAAATCAGCTGTCCTGCTGTCTGTTGCCCCTTTGGAAGTGATCTTTTGCCCTTAGTTGATTTTCAAATATTTCTTTGTCTGTTTTCTTCGATTCCACCATGTCGGTTTATTTTCACTTACCCTGTGTAGGATTCTGACCTGGTGGTACTCATCAGTTCTGAAACCTTGGTCACTCTCCCGGCACCATCTCTGTCCCCACCCACTCGTGGGCTCTGGTGAAACACACCACAGGTTTCTGTTCTATTCTGTGCTTTACTCTCGCAGCCACTTTGATTTTTCGATCTCTGTGTTCCATTCTAGATCATTACTTCAGACCCACCCTCCAGTTCACTAATTCCGTCTTTAGCTTTGTCTGTTAACTGTTCAACTGTTATAGGCAAACGTTGAGTTTTTCATTTTTGTTATTATATTTCCCATTTATTGAAGTTTTAATTCATTTTAAACTCTAAATCTCTGTCTTTTTTTTTTTAGAGACAGAGTCTCTGTGCAGGCTGAAGTGTAGTGGTGCGATCTCAGCTCACTGCAACCTCCAGCTCCTGGGTTCAAGCGATTCTCCTGCCTCAGCCTCCCGAATAGCTGGGACCACAGACGCACACCATGCCTAGCTAATTTTTCTGTATTTTAATAGAGACGGGGTTTCGCCATGCTGGCCAGGCTGGTCTTGAACTCCTGACCTCAGGAGATCCACCTGCCTCGGCCTCCCAAAGTGCTGGGATTACAGGTACCAGCCACTGTACCTGACCAATCACTTTTTTTTTTTTTTTAAGACAGTGTCTCGCTCTGCTGCCCAGGCTGGAGTACAGTGACACAATCTCTGCTCGCTGCAGCCTCAACCTCCTGGGCTCAAGTGATTCTCCTGCCTCAGCCTCCCAAGTAGCTGAGACTACAGGTGTGTGCCACCACGCCTGGCTAATATTTTTTGTACAGATGGGGTTTCGCCATGTTGCCCGGGCTGGTGTCAAACTCCTGGGCTCAAGCAATCTACCTGCCTCGCCCTTCCAAAGTGAGCCACGGTGTCCAGCCTTAAATCACTTTTTATACTTTCTGTTCCCTGCAGAGATTTTCGAACTCTTTTGAGATAGGGTCTCACTGTCGCCCAGCTAGAGAGTGCAGTGGCACAATCATGGCTCACTGCAGCCTTGACCTCCTGGGCTCAAGCAATCCTTCAGCCTCAGCCTCCTGAGTAACTGCTGGGGCTACAGGAGGACACCAGTACCCTTGGCCGTTTTCTCATGTTTTGTGGAGATGGGGTCTTCCTATGTTGCCCAGGCTGGTCTCAAACTCCTGGGCTCAAGTGATTCTGCTGCCTCAGCTTTCCAGTGCTTTCCAGGTGTGAGCTACCACGCCCAGCCTATTTCTGTTCTTTAAGCACAGTGAGGTGTGGCACCTGGCAGCCCCCACCCCTGCAGTCCGTGCAGCCCTCTGTCTACTGTCTGCTGGGTCTCCAACCCACCGTGGTGTCGAGACAGGGTCTCACTGTCGCCCAGGCTGTCTCTGTGCTGCACGTTGGACTTGAAAACTAAGAACCTAAGAATCATCTTATGCCCATATTGAAGGTATTCTCCCCATGAAAGACTCTGAATTGACTCTACCCAGAGCTGGAAGGCACCACCAGACTCCAGCCGGGACCACCTCACTGGAGTAAAGGCTAAGGGTCTCCGATCACCCCAGTCCTCTGAACCTAGGCTGCAACACTGTGTCAATGCCAGTCCACTTCCGGTACACCCCACCCTGAGTGTAATACTGTGGGGTCCCAGCTTCTCTCCACTGGGCCCCACTTTCCTCGGCCTGAGTCATCGGTCCTTACCTCCATCTGGCCTGGCCAACACTATGGGGGCAACAGCAGTCTCTTGCCGCTCACCTCTGACTCCCTGCCCTCCGGTTCTGGCCTTTCTATTTCATATTCTATTGGGTATTTTTAGTGCGATGTTTCAAGATATCTTATCCCACTTTCTGGGTGTCTTCAATGGGCCAGATTAGTCCCAATGCCCCTGTCCACCAATCCCAGTGACACGGAACTCCACACTCTCCTTGGAGGTGAAATTCCATCTAAAAATAATCAATCAGGTTGGGTGCAGTGGCTCATGACTGTAATCCCAGCTTTGGGAGGCCAAGGCAGGTGAATCACCTGAGACCAGGAGTTCAAGACCAGCCTGGCTAACATGGTGAAACCCCATGTCTACTAAAAATACAAAAATTAGCCAGGCATGGTGGCACGCACCTGTAATCCCAGCTACCCGTGAGGCTGAGGCAGGAGAATCGCATGAACCCACGACGTGGAGGCTGTAGTGAGCTGAGATCATACCACTGAACTCCAGCCTGAGTGACACAGTGAGACTCTATCTCAAAAAAAAAAAAAAAAATCAATCAACCTGCTGTACATCCTGGCCTCCCTGTGGCCTGGGCTCTGGACACTCCTAGAACGAGACAACACGGTCCCTACAGGAACAGGAAGCTGGCCTGCTCAGCCGACAGTGGCCCCAGAAGGCAAGCAGCAGGGAAGAGGGCCCCCAACCACACCTCCCGCGTTCCCACCACAGCAGCTTGCCTGTCTTAGGCCTCAGTTTCAAGACAAAATGGGTGTCCGTGCCCCCGGCCAAAGAGGGACTGCCGGGCGGGACCAACCTTCCTCTTGAGGACGCTGAGCTTCTCCACCACGCCGTCCAGCAGGCTGACCACGGAGTCCACGGCGGGGCAGCCGCTTAGTGTCTTCTCCAGCTCGGCCACCACCATGGTGACGTGGCTCGTCTCCCGGTCAATGTTTTTCTGAGCGGCGCGAAAGCGTTTGTTCAGTGTCTCGTAGGGCACCTAGAGAGGAAGGAGGATGGTGAGGAACCGCTCCCCTGGTGTGAGCCCCACCAGCCCCACACCCAGGACACACCACGTCTCCTCATGGCACTTATAGAGGCAGAAGTCTCAGGAGGTTCTTGGTCTCAAAGGATCTACTCTAAACCTCAACCAAGACCCACAAAAGCCCTGGTGAGCAGAGAGCCACTCCACATCCCTGGATGAGAAGCAACCCCAATTTTTGCCAAAAACATTGTAAGTGTATGTAGACAAATCAATCCCAAAGTTCATCTAGAATAATGAACACTCAAAGAAATTTCCAAACAGGAAAGCAGTGACCGGGGCGTGAGGCCATCAGACGGTAAAACACAGGATTGGCCGGTGATCAGCCAGGCTGGTGCAGCTGCAGGCGCCACCACACGAGGCCGGGCCAGGCAGGGACAAGGGTGCATGGGGCGTGAGCTCTACACGGGTTGGGCACAGCAAGCCTCAAACACGCAGGTGAAGCCACAGCGCACAACTCACACCCTCCTGCACGAGAGCATTTGCCTTCCCCACTCATAAAAATCATCCATTCCCTATGGAAAATAATCTTAACGTCACCATTAGTCTTCTGTCCCTCTGGAGAGAAGCGCTGCCGAGTTCTTCTCTGCCCGTTCCCTGTGCTCTATGGTTTGAAAGCAGCATGAATGACAGAATCACGCCCCAGCGCTCCCCAGCCGCCGTGGCCGGGCTCTGGCAGGAAACACTGCCCGTGGTCGTGGTCCTAGCTGTGCTAGCAGCCAGCAGCTCACCGCACAGCACGTCAGCAACATGGCCATGCTGCTGCCTGGGAGCAGTGGGCCCAACTCTGCCATCGCAGCTGTGCTGGAACAAGCGCTCCACCTCTGCCTCATCTCCAGCCGTGCCCAACCATGGGGGACAGACTCTCAGGCACTGCCTGCTCCCCCGGCCCTGGGCGGGCCTTGACCTCGTGTCAGCCACTGTGCTTAGCCGTGAGGTCACGTGAGGAAGGCAGGGCTGCAGTGAGGGAGACCTGGACGCAGCTCAGCACGTGGGCTTCCCAGGACTGGGACAGTCAGGGCAACAGAGACTGGACTGGCCTCAGCCAAGGAAGGAGTCACACAGCAAGGCTCTTCCCCAGACTTTCCCCCTGAAAGCAGGGGCAGGAGGTGGGTGGCAAGGCCAGCTCTGAGCCATTTCCCCCGGCTGCCACTCCCCACTCAGCCTGGCCCCCGCTGCCCTCCACTCAGACATCCCCCAGGGCCGACGTGGATCCACCACAGGTGACAGTGTGCACACACTCTCATTCACACCAGACAGCCACACAGGAGGGCATGTAAATGGCAGCCAGCATCACCGTCTGCTACCAAGCAGGACTCACACTTACTGGTGAGCAAATGAGTCTTAGGATGTTGAGAAGGAAGGCAGGGAAGCTGTCAAGCTACCACACGTTTAACCAACTCACAAAGCAGTGACAACACGAGATGGACTCGAAGCCAGGCACCATGTGTGGCATTCGGAACCAAGCTTGCTGGTGCCACGCGGCCTGGGGGTCCCATCACCCACACTGCCCACCTTCAAGATTTCTCCCAAGGATTTAGCACCGCTTAGGAAAGATGGGAGAAATTATTTTTCTCTGCTCCACATCCAGGGATGGGAAGTCACAGCAGACAGCACTTCAGCTCTCCATAAATACCTGACCAGTGCAAGCAAGCTCAACGAGACCCACTGGGGAAGGCCCCAAAGGCCCCCGAGGCCCTGACACCACAGCCGGACAGCGGCCCGCGCCGCGCGACTCTCCCACTGGAAACCCCATCTGAGCGTGTCCTGCCACGAGGTGGAATTTCTAAAGGACGCAAAGCACACTCAGTCTTTGCTCTGCTATGCGGGGTCTCACACGAGCAGGACAGAAAGTCTTAGCCATTAGACGGACAGACAAAGAGGCACAACCACCCTCGCTCACACGGAGGAACCCACACAGCATCCACACACCAGCACATTCCAGACCGCCACCAGGAAAGCAAGGCCTCTCTGGACGTTCCTCAGCTGCATTCAAGTTCTACGCGGGAACGGGGCCTTTCCGGACAGTCCAATTCCTGGGGGGCCACCCGCCTCACCGCGGTGCTTACGCTGCTCAGGCACAGGGCAGAGCTCCGGGCAGCTGATGTGCTGCAGACAGGAACTCCCAGCGCAAGGCAAAGAGGCCCTGCCCAAAACTCGCCACGGTTACGCAGGACGCGAGCATGAAGGAGGCGCAGGAGGGGCTCACCGGGGCCACGGTGTCTTCCCAAGTGGGAAGACCCCCACCTCCCTGCCAGTGGCTCTCAGGGTCCACGTCCGGCCGCTTACTGCTCAGGCCTCCCACGCCTCTGCGCACGCTCCTCCCACCTCCCTGCCTCCGCTCCTCCTCCTGCTCCTCCTCCAGCGCTGGCCTGGGGCTACCCAATCTGCGTTCAGGGGATGTGCGCCGCAGACCCTCTCCCTCCTGCGGGGCAGCTGCTGACCACGCCCCCCAGAGACGCCAAGCCAGCCCCGGAAAGCAGCGCCTCCTTTTCCGGGGGACCCAGCACGTGACTCCCGGCCCTAAAAGCTCCCCTACACTGGCCTGAGCCGGCTGGTTAGCAACACCCCCTTCACAGGCTCCTTAAAGGGCATTTGGTGACCGAGTGAGTGGAATTTCAGAAATGCTGAAGACTCGAACTCGAGCCAAATTATCACTCAAGAATGAGGACAAACTGAAGTTACTTTCAGATATGCAAGGGCTGAAAGCTGAACACACACAAACCTTTCTGGGAGAAAAACTTCTCAGAAATATTGCTTAGTGACCAAACACAACAAATCCATGGAGAAAGACACAAGAAGCAGCACTGCGGAGAGGGGCCAGCAGATTGTAAGACACAAGAAACAGCACTGCGGAGAGGAGCCAGCAGAAAATACAGCTCGCCCAAATGAGGACAGGCAACCTAACAGACTGTATCACAAGAAGAACTGTGAAAAGGGGCAGAGCACTAAAAATAGATTCCTAATAGCACAGGCAACAGAGACAAATGGGACTACATCAAACTTAAAAATTTCAGAGCAGGAAAAACCAATAGAGTAAAAAATGGGAAAAAATAGCTGCAATCCAGGATCTGCATATGAAGCTACTATCCCGAATGCACTTTTAAAAACTCCTACAACTCCACAACCAAAGGAAATCTTCAATTTTAAAACGGGTGAAGGACTTAAGACACTTCTACAGAGAAGATAAACCAATGGCCATCTTGCCATACATGACAAGATGCTCCACACGACCAACCACCCAGCAGACCCAAGTGCAAACGTGAGACATCCCCTCGTGCCTGCTAGGACGGTGATCGCTAAACACCAAAAGCTACGCCATGGCAGGAAGCGGAGCAGCGGGACCCGCATGCAGGGCCAGGGAATGTGCCCGGCGCAGTGTGGAGAGCAGCGAGGCAATTCCTCAGAACGTTAGGCACTAGGCTCCTGAGTCCCCAGCAGGCCACGAGAACTGAAGGCAGGGTCCCAGGAGGTATCTGCACAGCTGTGTTCATGGCAGCCACGAGGCAGAAGCAACCCAAATGTCCATCACCAGGGGAATGAAAGAAGAAAACGTGGCAGTCACACGCCACATAATGACATTTTGGTCAACAACAGACCGTACAGGTGATGGTGGTCGCATTAAGATTAGGACACTGCATTCTCACTGCATCTTTTCTATGTCTCAACATGTACGATGCAAACCACCACCATGGAACAGCCGCCTGTGGTATTCAGCAGTGACAGGCTGTACAGGTTTGCAGCCCAGGAGGGTTGTACCACGTGTACACACAGGCTGTACCACGGTGCGAGCATGCAGCAGCCACACCGTCTGGGCTCCTGTGAGTTAGTTCGTTCTACGATGTTCGCACGGTGAAGTCGCCTAACGATGCATTTCTCAGAGCTTTTCCATGTAAGTGACACATGACTGTATCTGCACATGTAACGGTTCATTTCAGGCATCAACTTGATTGGATTAGGGATACCTAGAGAACCCGTGAAGCATTACTTCTGGGTGTGCCGGTGCGGGTTTTCCAGAGGAGAGTGGTGGATGAGTGGGAAGATGCCCTCCAGGTGAGTGGCACCATCCAGCCCGCTGGGGCCCAGATAGAACAAGAAAGGTGGATAAGCAATTTCCTCTCCCTCCTGGGGCTGGGACCCTGCCCTTTGGCATCGGAACTCCAGGGTCTCTGGCCTTCGGACATTGGGACTTGCACCAGCATCCCCCGGGGTTCTCAGGCCTTTGGCTCTGGACTGAGCCATGCACCAGCTTCCCAGGGTCTCCGGGGTGCAAGTCTGCTGGGGGACTCAGCCTCTGTAATCACATGAGCCGATTCCCCAACAAATCCCCTCAACTACCGATATCCAGTATGAGTTCTGTCTCCCTGGGGAAAACTAACACAACACACAGTGGAATAGTATTCAGCCTTTTAAAAGAAGGCAGTCCTCTCACACGCTGTAACATGGATGAATCTTGAGGACCTTCTGCTAAGTGAAAAAAGTCAATCATGAAAAGACAAATCTGCATGACTCTGCTTCTGTGAGGTATCTCACACAGTCCAACTCTTAGACACAGAAAGCAGAATGGTGGATGCCAGGGGCTGGGGTGGGGAGGAGGCAGTTTTGTTCAATGGCTATGGAGTTTCCAGTTTGCAAGATGAGAGGGTCCTAGTGATACAGATGGTATGACGGTACTGTGTGCTTATGGTACAGTGTCTATGCTATAAATGGATAAAGTGGTTGCTGTATAAAATGGTTGATGGCAAATTTTATATATATGTAACATTAATAATGTCTTAAATTTAAAAATGTTAAAAATATTCTAATGAATTTTGATAAATGGCACCTGATTGCAAGACTTCTTATAAAGCTAGAGTGATCAAGCCAGTACAGCACGGGTCTGGGAATGGATACAGGGGTCAGTGCAGGTGGGGAACCCAGAAAAGGGCCCACAGGCAGGGCCCATTTACATCCAGCCAAGGGGCCAAGGCTGCTGAGGGGAAGGACAGTCTCTGCAACAGCCAGGACATGGCCCTCAACCCAAACCTCACATCCCCATGACAAGTGCGTCCGTGTAGATCACGGCCCTAAACATAAAAGCTCAAACTGTGAAACTCCTTAGAAGGAAACATGGGAGAAAATCTTCGCATCCTTGAGACAAGCAACGGTTTCTTAGGAGGATATAAAATGCACCAACTGTAAAAGAAAAATCCATCCTCTGAACCTTATCAAAACTAAAACTTCTCCTCTTCAGAAAACAATGTAGAAAATAAGCACATGAGCCACAGACTGGGAGAAGGCCTTCATAGCACACCTGACAAAGGGCTTCCATCTGGAATACAGCCAACTCCTGCAGCCTCAGTATTAGGACAAGCAAACCCCCCCGACCCGTTTGTTTTTTTTTTTTTTGAGACAGAGTCTCACTCCATCACCCAGGCTGGGGTGCAATGACGCAATCTCGGCTCACTGCAACCTCCACCTCCCGGGTTCAAGCGATTGTCCTGCCTCAGCCTCCCGAGTAGCTAGGACTACAGGCACCCGCCACCTCACCCAGTTAGCAATCCCATTTTTTTAATGGGGAAAAGGTTTGAACAGGAACATCACAAAAAAGTTCTATGAAGGGCAGGTAATCTCTAGAAGGACATGCAACATCATGAGTCGTCCGGGAAATGCAAATTAGACCACGGCGGAAGGCATGATGATGAATTTTACGGGTCCATTTGACACTGCCAGGTTCCCCAACAAACATTTGGCCAAGTATTATTCTGGGTGTGTCTGTGAGAGCATTCTGGGATGGGATTAATATGTGAATGGGTAGACTGAGGAAAGCCCACAGCCTTCCCATTGGGGAGGGGCCTGCCCAATCTGCTGAGGACCTGAAGGGAAGGGCAAGGCTGGGTAAGAAGGAACTCCTCCTGTGGGCGGGGCATGGTCTTTTCTGGCCTTTGCACTTGGACTAAAACCCTGGCTCTTCCTGAATCTTCCGCCCGCCTGACAGCTTCCGGGTTAAAACTGTTACCGTCGGCCTTCTTGGTCCTCAGGCCTTGAGACTCAGACTGGAACTACATTTCAGCTCTCCGGGGTCTCCAGCTTGGGACTTAGCCTCGATAACTGCACCAGCCAATTCTTTGTGATACATCTCCTTACGTGCACGCATGTGCACACACACGCACCCACCCACACATGTGCGCACACACCCACATGCACCCATGCACGCGCACACACCACACAACGCACGCACCCACACACGTGCGCACGCACCCACACGCACACGCACGCACCACACGCACACACCACACGCGCGCGCACACACCCATGCACGCATGCGCACACACCCACGCACACGGGCGCCACTGGCTCTGTTTCTCTGGAGAACTCTGGCACCCAGAAGAACAGTTCCAAGTCAAGAGAGCGCCACCACATGCTGTGGAGCCGGGATACCTGGACTCTTGCTGGCCGCCGTTCTAATGATCCTTCTGGAAAAAGCGCTTAGTTCTTTAAAAGGTAAAGACATCTACCAGATGACTCAGCCATTCCACTCCCAAAAAAAATGGACATAGAATATCCACATACAGATGCAGGAATGCTTGTTCACCACAGTTCCAAATGTCCATTGACCAGGATGGGTAAACAAACCGTGGTGTGCCCACACAGAAGAGTCCTCCAGCAATCAGAGGGAGGGCCGTGCTGCCTGGAAGCAGCTGGGCACAGCAGCACACGTGAGCTCACTCACAAGGCACCCTAACCAGGGCCGGGCTCACCTAGTGCAGCGGCTCTCCACAGGGACAACGTGCTCCCCAGAGGACATCTGGCAATGTGTGGAGACCTTTTTGATTTGCCACAATTGGAGTATGGCTGTGAACTGGACAAACTACAAGAGGAAATTAACTGGAACAAAGAAAACCTTATCGATCCACCAAAAGAAATAAAAAACCAAAGACAAAAGTATAGGAAACAGAAAGCAAAATCAGACAGTGAAGAGAAGTCCACAGTATTAGTAATCATCATAAATCTGGACGGCTACGGAAAGACAGAAACATCAGTACAAGTTTTTTGTTTTTAAAACATCTCTCAGAAACCGAAGCAGATTAAAAAAAGGATAAAGCCACAAAGCAGTACCATTCAATAGAGTACAACGTGAGCCACATTTGTATAGTTTCATATTTTCTAGTAGCCATAGTACAAAGAAACACATGAAATGTATTTTAATATATTTTATTTAACCCAATTCATCCCAAATACGTTCATTTAAACAACATAAATAATTATCAGGGGCCAGGAGTGGTGGCTCACACCTGTAATCCCAGCACTTTGGGAGGCCGACGCAGGCGGATCACGGTCAGGAGAACGAGACCATCCTGGCCAACATGATGAACCCCCGTCTCTACTAAAAACACACAAAAAATTAGCTGGGCGTGGTGGCGGGCGCCTGTAGTCCCAGCTACTCGGGAGGCTGAGGCAGGAGAATGGCATGAACCCGGGAGGCGGAGCTTGCAGCAAGCGGAGACCACGCCACTGCACTCCAGCCTGGGCCACAGTGCGAGACTCTGTCTCAAATAAGTAAGTAAGTAAACAATTTCAGGGCCAAGCACGGTGACTCGTATCTGGAATCCCTGTGCTTTGGGAGGCCAAGGTGGGAGGACTGCTTGAGGCCAGGAGTTGGAGACCAGCCTGGGAAACATAGACACCCCTGTCTCTACAAAAAATATACAAAATAAAACAATAATAAATAATCATTAGACATTTCACATTTGTTACCCTCTTGGTACTAAATCTTGGAAAGCCAGGGTGTGTTTTACATTGAGAGCACACGACGATTTGGACCAACAACATCTCAAGTACTCGACAGCCACATGGGGCTCCCAGAAGACACGCCAGTGAGGTTAAGGAAACTGGAGCCACACTACCAACAGAGGAGGAGGGTGTGTGAGGTTTGACGGGAGCGACAGAACCTGGGCCTCACCCTTTGACCCAGGTACTCTACTTCTGTGGACCCAGACTAAAAACTCCCCACTCCTGTGTGCAGAGCTACACACCATGGACCCTGCTGCCCTGCCGGAACCCGCCCCAGCCGCCCCGTCGGACCCCCGTGCCCTGCCAGCATGGTGCAAGCATGCTCTTCAGTTGTCTATTAAGCTGAATCATACAAAAAATCCCAATGTCATTTTTAATTTTACCAATTTTTACTGATAGAATTCACAGGCCATATAATTCACCCTTTTAATGTGTACAATTTAGTAGCTTTTAGAATAAGCACAAGGTTGTACAAATCACTCTTTACTTCCAGAAGATTTTCATCACTCCAAAAAGGAACCCACTAAAATCCCCTCAGACCCAGGCAATCAACCACCAACCGATTCCATATAAATGGAATCTCGTGGGATGTGGACTTCCGTATCTGGCTTTTCTCACTTAGCACGTTTACCAAGTTCACCTGTGATGTGGCGTGCAGCGACACCATTCCTCTTCATGGCGGTCTTCCAGGGTATTCATACACCTATTTGTTTAGGAATTCACAAGTGATGGACTTTTGGCTGCTATCGAGAAGGAGATGGTATTCTTTGTTTTTTTTGGTTTTTTTTTTGAGACGGAGTCTCACTGTTGCCCAGGCTGGAGTGCAGTAGCGCGATCTCAGCTCACCACAACCTCCGCCTCCCAGGTTTAAGCGATCCTCCTGCCTCAGCCTCCCGAGTAGCTGGGACTACAGGCACACGCCACCAAGCCCGGCTAATTTTTTTTTTTTTTTTTTGTATTTTTAGTAGAGATGGTGTTTCACCATGTTGGCCAGGATGGTCTCATCTCCTGACCTCATGATCCACCTGCCCTGGCCTCCCAAAGTGCTGGGATTACAGACATGAGGCACCACACCCGGCCCAAGGATGACATTCTTAAGAGTTTCTACTGCTCTTGGGGATAAGCTGAGGAGAGGAACTGCCAGGTCCTATGGTAACTCCGTGTGTCACCTGAGGAACGGGCAGGTTGTTTTCTGAGGTGGCTACATATGAGGATTTCAATTCCCCACATTCACACCCAACAACTCGCCATTGATTTTCCTACAGCCCTTCTGGTGGGGTATGAAGTAATACCTCACTGTGGTTTTAGTTTGTATTTCCCTAAGGATTAATGATGTGCTTAGTGGCCATTTGTGTATCTTTGCAGAAGTTTGCTAAAATTGTGTGCTCATTTAAAAAATGTTTTCTTGGCCAGGCACAGTGGCTCACGCCTGTGATCCCAGCACTTTGGGAGGCCGGGGCGGGGGGATCACGAGGTCAGGAGATCAAGACCATCCTGGCTAACATCGTGAAACCCCGTCTCTACTAAAAATACAAAAAAAACTAGCCGGGCGCGGTGGCGAGCGCCTGTAGTCCCAGCTACTTGGGAGGCTGAGGCAGGAGAATGGGGTGAACCCGGGAGGCGGAGCTTGCAGTGAGCCGAGATGGCACCACCGCACTCCAGCCTGGGCGACAGAGCGAGACTCTGCCTCAAAAAAAAAAAAAAAAAAAAGTTTTCTTTTGCCTTTGTATTAATGAACTAGAAGAGTTCCTAACCTATTCTGAATACTAAACCCTTAACAGATACATGACTGGCAAAGATTTTCTCCCCATTCTGAGCAGCTGTCTTAGTCAGCTCGGGCTGCTGTAACAAATATCACAGACTGGGCGACCGAAACAGCAAACACTGATTTCTCACAGTTGTGAGGGCTGCATGTCTGACCTCAAGGTGCCAGCATGGTGGGGTTCCTGGCGAGGACCCTCTTCCTGGTGATGTCCTCACGTGGTCCTTCCCAGGTATGTGCATGCTGAGCGCGCCCTGTTCTCTCTGTCTTCCTATGAGGACACTAATCTCAGCACTGGGTCTCTATCCTCGTGACCACCTTCAAACTCAATTACCTCCCAAAGGCCGTACCTCCAAATACCACCCCATGGCAGGTTAGGGTCTAAGCACATGGAGCTGGAGGGACTCAGACACTCAGCACACAGCGGTAGTCTGCAAAACTTCCTCAACGGTGTCCTTTGAAACACAACCTTCCCATTTTAATCGTCCAATTTACCTATTTTATGCATGTGCATGTGTGTGTGTGTTTTAGGCAGTGTAGCTAATAAACCACTGCCTAATTCACATCAGGAAAATTTACATCTTTAAGAGCTTTATAATTTTAGGTCTTACATGTAAGTCTGACCCATTTTAATTTTTTCATACGGTGTGTGAGGTTGAAGTCCAACTTCATTTTTTGCTTGTGGAGATCTAGTTATCTCAGCATCACTTGTTAAAAACACTATTCTTTCCTATCTTGGCAGCCTCGCTAAAAATCAGTTCCCACGAATACACGGGTTCACATGTGGACTGATTCCACCCCGCTGATGTGCATCGACCCCTCCGCCAGCACCGTGCAGTCTTCATCACCACGGCTCCGTGGAAAGCGCTGAGGTCAGGAAGCGCAGGCCTCACAACTGCTTTCTCAAAGATGGCTCCTCGCATTGCCACATGAATTTTCAAAACAGCTGTCAATGTCCACAAAAAGGCCAGCTGAGATTTTGACACAAAAATCTATTGAATCTGTAGGTCAACTAGGGGAGTATTGCTGTCTTAATAACAGTAAGTGCTATTTCTAAGCATCTTATTATTTTGGTGCTGTTGTAAATAACATTTTAATTTCCTTTTTGATCATTTCCAAGGTAAAGAAATATAACATATTTTTACTTATCTTGTATTGTGCAATCTTGACGAACTAGTTTATTAATACTACCAGTTCCCAAGCGTATTCCTTAGGAATTCTATATAGAAGATCATGTCATCTGCAACTACAACTTTACATTTTCTTTTCCAGTCTGAATGTCTTTTATTTATTTTCCTTGCCTAACTGTCCTAGAGCCCCCAGGATGATGCCAAATGTAAAGGGAACTGACATCTTTCATCTTGTTGCTGTTCTTAGGAGGAAAGTGTTACTGTTTGGCATGAAGCAAGATGTTAGCTGTGGGTTTTCCACAGATGCCCTTCATCAGATTGAGGAAGTTCCTTTCTATTCCCAGTTTTTTCAGGATAGGAGTGTTTGTATGATGAAAAGGTGTTGGATTTTGTAAAGTGCTTTTGTTGCATCTATTGAGATGATTAGGTGGTGGTTGTCCTTCATTCTATTAATATGAGACATGACATTGATTTTCATGCATTGAACCAACCTTGCATTTCTGGGGGAAATCCTACTTAGTCCTGACACATAATCCTTTCTATATGTTACCAGATTCAGTTTGCTAAGATTTTGTTAAAGATGATGGCATCTATTTCTTTCAACTGGAACGATGGTCTGTGGCTTTGTGATGTATTTGTCTGGTTCAAGGTTATATCAAGGTGATACTGGCCTCACAGAAGGAGTTGGGATGTACTCCCTCCTTAACTGCTTTTAGCAAGAGTTAGTGTAAATTCTTCTTTAGTGTTCAACAGAATTCATCAGTGAAACCATCTGGTCCTGGGCTTTTCTTTGTGAGGTTTTTTGTAGTAACCACCTGTTATAGGTCTATTCAGTCATCACTTTTAACTTACAAAAATAACAACTATATATGGTTCAACCTAACATATTTTTCCTTCTACACATTTTGTCTGTGTCCCTTGTCCAATGCTTATTTGTTTTTATTTACTTATTCACTTACTTATTCCTTCATTCACACAGGGTCTCACGCCGCTGTTCAGGCTGGAGCCCAGTGACACAATCATAGCTCACTGCAGCCTTGAGCTCCTAGCTCAAGTGATCCTCCTGCCTCAGCCTCCCAAAGTGCTGGGATTACAGGCATAAGCCACTGTGCCTGGCTTGGTATTTGCTTTTAAATTCTGGTTCTATCTTATCTGGTTATACCAAATAATTAAACTTTTATTTATCACATCTCCCCAATTTTTCCTAAGTAATTTGTTGCATTACAGCTTTTTACAATCACAGGATTTCTCAACTTAGCGAATGTTAAATTACGTTTTCTCCAATACATCTTCCCCTTCGGTGACTCAAAGAAGTAATCCTCCCTGATTTCGTCACTGAAACAGAATGTGGCAAGCAGCGTGAGTGGAGACATGCGTGAAACGTCTGCACCTGCTTGCCCGCTGCCCCCACACTGTGCCATCAGCTTCAGGATGTGCTTCCTCAAACGTTCTCCAGCCTTTGCCGTGCTTCTCTGACAGAATTTGCTGACAAAAAGAAACGCATTTTAGTGTGTCATCATCATGTTTTCACCAACACAGGAAGGAAGAATTTCCCCAATGGCATAAGGCTCTTTGTCTTTTGCAATTAACCATAAGAGGTTTCTAAATAGTGATTACGAAGCTCATCACAGGGCCAGAAGTGCTGGATTAAGCCCTGGGTGGCAGTTTGCATCACCCTCCATCCTGGAGGGCCCAGTCTCATGTTCTGGTGCAGGGCATGTAATCACGGTGGCTTCCTGCCATCCTGAGCTAATCTCCCCAAGCACAGCACATACCCTGAGGGAGGCTCACAAAGGACAAAAATGCTTCAAATCCCCCAAGAGGCTTCTTGAAAAAAACGACACTTCCAGTCAACTTCTGAGGGGATGTGACCAGATTGACGTTGCGCCCTACAAAGTTCATGGTGGGAAGCCCACTGTTGGCCCTGAGCTCCGCACTCCCAGTTAGGCTCAGCCTTAGCCAGCTGCTTCCTTGCAGGAACCTTTTTAAGCCACTGATCCATTTTGGAAAGGGTATGCGACCTGTGACAGCGGCACACACACACACAACGCAGCACCAGACTTGGAAGCCAGCAGCGTGGAAGAGCCAGGGCCGTGCCCCACGCAGTCCAGTGCCCTCATTCCTGGGTCACTCTCTAACCAAACGACACACAGACCACAAGTGGGTAGGAATGTCAGTTAATATACACGACATTAGCAGAGCTTCCTTCCTCACCTTTCCGTAAAATATTTCAAAGGAAGCCAGCTGTTCTGCCACAAAGTCACGACTTTGGCAGTTACACACCTGGCTGTTGTGTCTGGCAGGGCCCAGCCCTTCTTGGTGTCCCTTTCATTATAAATAAGAAATGTTTTATCAAACACAAAAGGAGCAACATGATATCATTACGGTTTCATGCAGAAACACGGCATCCTCTGCTAGTGCCAATCTTCCTTCAGGCCTTTACTGAAATAGCACCGTGGCAGTCAGGCTGCCTGCTAAGGACACTGTTGGATTGTCTGTTTCTGCTACTTTGGGTTATGGTGAATGGGATGTGTTCTAACTGGCTGGCGGTGGTATAGAGAACAGCGATTGGGTTTCATGCACTTACTGTGTGCCCTGTTATTGTGCTGACTTTCTCAATGGTAACATTTACTTCTATTTCAATTCTTACTGCTTTAGACAGAATTGCCAAAATAATATTTAATATTATTTTGCTCATTTGTTAATTGGAAAATTGATTTCTTCTCTATCCTCCAAAAGAGCTTATAATCCCAGTGGTCAGAAACAGGCAAATACCATATGTGAGACAGCAGTCATGACTCAGGAGGGAAAAGGGCGGAAGTGGGAGATGCCGGGGCTGCGGTTTCAACAGTGGGGTCAGAGAAGCTTCACAAGGTGACAGCTCAACAAAGACTGAAGGAGGTGAGGACATGGGCCCACGGACACTGGCAAAGATTGAAGGAGGTGAGGACATGGGACTACGGACATCAGCAAAGATTGAAAGAGGTGAGGACATGGGCCCACGGACATCGGCAAAGACTGAAGGAGGTGAGGACATGGGACTACGGACATCAGCAAAGATTGAAGGAGGTGAGGACATGGGCCCACGGACATCGGCAAAGACTGAAGGAGGTGAGGACATGGGCCCATGGACACTGGCAAAGATTGAAGGAGGTGAGGACATGGGACTACGGACACTGGCAAAGACTGAAGGAGGTGAGGACATGGGACTACGGACATCGGCAAAGATTGAAAGAGGTGAGGACATGGGCCCCCACATCGGCAAAGACTGAAGGAGGTGAGGACATGGGCCCCCACATCGGCAAAGACTGAAGGAGATGAGGACATGGGACCACGGACATCAGCAAAGATTGAAGGAGGTGAGGACATGGGCCCCCACATCGGCAAAGATTGAAGGAGGTGAGGACATGGGCCCACAGACATCAGCAAAGACTGAAGGAGGTGAGGACATGGGACCATGGACATCGGCAAAGATTGAAGGAGGTGAGGACATGGGCCCCCACATCAGCAAAGACTGAAGGAGGTGAGGACATGGGACCATGGACATCGGCAAAGATTGAAGGTGAGGACATGGGCCCACAGACATCTGTGGGAGGAGTGCTCCAGACAGAGGAGGGTGGCACTAAAACCCTGGGCTCAGCATGCTGGCCTGGCTGAGCGGCGGCAGAAAGGCCACTGGCCCAGCGCCCTACAGGGCAAAGGGCCTGGGAGCCACTGTAACAACCCTGGCCTTCATCCCCAAGACAGGAAACTCCTAGAACAAAAGGATGACAGGATCTGGCGCTGGGGCAGCTGGGGTGGGCATGGGCAGAGCAGGACCAGCCAGAAGGCTATTCAGTATTCCAGAGAGAGATGCGACTTGAGCCGCAGGGGCAGAGAAGGGAAGAGCAGCAGCAGCTGGGCCTGGGCATGTCCTGACGCCAAGGTGGAGGGGACAACGGGCTGGGCATGAGCTGCGACAACAGAGGCGTCAAGGCCAACCTGAAGGTTCTGGCCTGACCAAGGTAAGGGAGACTGGTAGAATTGGTTTGGGCAACAGGTGTTAAGATGAAAAGCTCAGATCTAAATATGCCAAGGAGCTGGGCGTGGCGGCTCACACCTGTTATTCCAACACTTTGGGAGGCCCAGGAGGGAGGACTGCTTGAGACCAGGAGATGGAGACCAGCCTAGATAACGGAGCGAGAACCTATCTCTACAAATAAAAAAATTAGCCAGGCATGGAGGTAGGCGTCTGTGGTGCCAGTTACCCGGGAGGCTGAGGCAGGAAGATCGTCTGAGCCCAGGAGGTCGAGGCTGCGGTGAGCTGTGATGATGTCACTGCACTCCAGTCTGGGTGCCAGAGTGAGACCCCATCTCTAAAAATAATAATAATTTTAATGCCAAGGTGCCTTGCCAAGTGGGTATGTTTTATGGGCTACTGGACACAGGGCTCTGGGGCTGCGAAGATACCTGCCTGGGAGTCATCAGTATACACAGAGGGTCCTAAGAGTCCACTAGACCCTGTGAGAGCACCAAGGCAGCAGCACTCACAGCAACACCCAAGGCCAAGGACTGAGCCTGGGGAAACGCGAGGATGGTGCTCTAGGAGCCCGAGGGGGTGAGCTGTCTTCTAGCCCCATGAGAGGTCAAGATGGGCAGCAAGAATCCAGCATGGGTCTCAGCAGTGTCTTGAGGTTACCTGGTGCCCCAGCTATAGCACTGCGATGGGGCAAAACCAGATGAGAAGCAATTCCAGAGACCCCAAGGCAGGGCCGGCTCAGAGAGAGGGGACCCATGGGTTCCGCCAACAGTTAACCAGAAGACGGTGTGTGCCTCTTCAGGTCACAGGGACGGGGCAGGGGGTCTGGTGCATGAACAAAGGCTGGCCTTGGGTGGAGCATAGATGACATATTCCCAGTAATGGGAAGGAGACAGTGAGCGCAAGTGGGCAGGGAAAAGACAGGGCCAAGCCACAAGCACAGCACAAGATGGGGGCAGGCGCAGGGGGCTCATGGAGAACAGGTGGCATATGGAACAGTACCTGGTGTACAGGGTGCTAAAATGCCTCTAGAAGCATGGCCATGCTGCCAGGCAGTACTCGGCACCCACTCCAGGCCAGCAATCAGGTTCCTCAGCAGTTAGGTGCGGCTTCTGTGGCCAGTGCAGGGGCCTTTCACAGCGGGGTTTCCATGCTGGAATGTTCTAGAACAATGGGAAGGAGAGAAGGGCAGGGGCTGGGGCTACATTGCAAAGGGTGGAGGGGAGGCAGAAAGGAAATGCAAGAGGCTGACCACACCCAGATGAGGGCACAGGCTGTGAGACCAAGACTACTCTGGAACGCGGCAAGTGGACGAAAAGTGAGAGGCAAAGTTTAGGAATTTCCCAGACAGACGGGGTAGAAATTGGTTGGGCCAACAGCCATTGACTGTGACTCCTGTGCCAGGCACTCATGCGTGTGAAGTGAACGACGACAAAGGCCAGCCCCTGCCCTCACAGAGCAGACGCTCTAAAGGAGACGCCCAACCAAAGCACAGACAGATGCAGGCGACCACGTCAGACTGTGACGAGTGCTGCAAAGGAAACCAGGCAGGCAAGGGACAAAGGGCAAAAGGAACCACATCCCAATTTTATTTAGGGCAGCAATGAGCCCACACTCAGGCGCAGACTCTCTCTCCATACACACACACACACGCGCACACATACACGCATATATACACGCACATGCGTGCACACGCACACGCGCACATACACGCACACGCACACATACACGCACACACACGCACACATACACGCACACCCACACACGTGCGCACACATACACGCACACACGCACGCACGCGCGCACACACACATACACGCACACGCACACACACGCACACGCACACACACATACACGTGCGCACACACACGTATGTATTTTTTCAGGCTCCTTCTAAGCTAGAAATGGCCAGCCCCACGCTCTGGGTAATGAGCTGAAGGTAAACACTCGAGAAGATCTCTGCTAAGGGCCCATGCAGGGAGCTGGCCACGCAGGGCGGCACTGTTCCCCCTGACCCTCCTCCTGGTTGCGAAGGCCGCAGCCCCAGCAGCCATCATGGACTCAAGAATAAACGTGAGAAACAGAAATGGAGAAAACCTCCAAGTTCTGGGCTGTCACTGAACAAGTGCCAGGGGAACATCACTGTCAACTGACTTGGGAAGGCTGGCTTAGTAAGGCAGGTCTGGGGCTTGTCTGGGGCTCCAAGGCCAAGATGCAGCATTTCGTTTTGCGCCTGGAATCGTATCTTTGTGAACTGCCTCCCAGACATGCTGAGAGAGCTCCGGGAGGTGACTACCCGAGATGGCCTCAGGGAGAGGCCTGGGGAGGGCAGCAGTGTGGGGACAGGAGCATGGAGACCATCTGTGAAGCCACACGACCTCTGGAGGGCTGGCTGGTGACATAAAAGAACAAAAGCCCCCAAGACTAGAGAAGACAGTGCAGGCATGTGAGGACATGCAGTGAGGGGTGGGGAGAGCCCAGAGGATGGTGTCACAGGAAACAAGTGAAGGGAGTGTCTCAAGGCAGTGGGGTTCGCTGTGGACTGACCACTTTCAGGAGCATCATCCTGTCCTCAAGAGGAGCATTTGGGTGGAATGTTGGGGGGCAAAAACCTGATTGAGGTAAAACAGGAAGAGAGACATGAGGAAGGGGCAGAGAAAGGGAGTCATAGCTGGAGAAGGACATGGGGCAAGGAAGGGGTTTGGTTCACGAGAAGAAGACTCAAGAGCCATCTGCACACCAGGGAGCCGCACAGCCAATGGGAAAACCAACCAACAGGAGAGGGAGAGCCAAGTGCAGGAGCAGCCTCGAGGCAAGGGCACAGCGCAGATGGGGGGGAGGGGACGCAGCACAGGTGAGGGGAGCACAGGCATGGGTGAGGAACAGCACAGGCATGGGTGACGGGGGTGCAGGTGATGAACGGCGCAGGTGTGAGGGCAAAGGCGCGGGTGAGGGCGGCACAGACGCGGGTGGGGGGGCACAGGCGTGGGTGAGGGGGCACAGATGAGGGTGGTGCAGACGCAGGTGAGGGAGGAGTGGGTGAGGGGGCACAGGCATGGGTGAGGGGCACAGGTGAGAGCAGCACAGGTGAGGGCAGTGTAGACGTGGGTGAGGGGGCGCAGGTGAGAGGGGCACAGGTGCTGGTGAGGGGGACACAGACGCGAGTGAGGGGAGCGCAGGTGCAGGTGAGGGTGGCACAGGCGCTGGTGAGGGGATGCAGGTGAAAGCAGTGCAGGTGAGGGCGGTGCAGATGCAGGTCAGGGGGGCAAAGGTGCAGATGAAGGCAGCGCAGGTGAGGGCAGTGCAGACACAAGTGATCGGGCAAAGGCGTGTGTGAGGCGGGCACACAAGCGGGTGAGAGGGGCACAGGTGCGGGTGAGGGGGGTACAGGAGCGGGTGAGGGGGGCACAGGAGCGGGTGAGGGGGGCACAGGAGTGGGTGAGGGGGGCACAGGAGCGGGTGAGGGGGGCACAGGAGCGGGTGAGGGGGGCACAGGAGCGGGTGAGAGGGGCACAGGCGCGGGTGGGGGGTACACAGGCGCGGGTGGGGGCGGTACAGGCGCAGGTGGG